AAATTTAATCACTCGAAATGGTGCATGAAGCCATTGAAAAATGGCGTAACAGGGAATAGCAGTAATAATGGTTTGTTATAGCCGTTATCTTTGTTTTCCCATCACCAATTCAATTTAAAAAAAAAAAAAAACTAAAACTTCAACAGCTAATAATCTGAGAAAGACAAGGCCAAGGTTATACTCTGTATGCAATGACAATAATGAGGGTCAATGGGTGTGTGGAAACGAGAGTTGGGACTTGAGAGGCCGACTTGAGATTGGGTTTTATGGAGCAAGCTGCAAGAGGTAGAGATATTGACAAAAAGCGTGAGTGGCTAGTGAGTGGAGGTTGGAGTAGGCAAGAAAGAAACACGAAAAAGGAGTGAGAAATGCAAAGAAATTGAAAAAAGGAAGAAAATTTGAGCAGGATTGAGTCATTGACTTGAATGAGGCCTTGAAAAAGATTCGAAGAAGTAATTTGAGAATTATGTGGGATTCACAATTCAAGGAATTTAGGGGTGGGACTGTTGGAGTGGGATGGGTGGTGGGGTGGGTTTTTTTTTAATTTAGTAATTAATTTTATTAAAATATAAATTTGAAAATTTTTAGTTTTTGAAATTTTTTTAGAGAAAATCTAATTAAAGGGATTGAAGGAAGTTTATAATTTGCTACTAAACTAAATATGAATGATTTATTACAATCTAAATAAAATTGTGAATAATTATAAATACATAATGTCATAAACTATTTTAAGAATTATATTTTTATGATTATAATTATAATTATTACATTTTATAATAAATTATGCAAAACTAAAAAAATTCACGGCTGCGATAACAGTAATAATCGTAATTATTTTTATTATGTCTGAAAACACAATAAACATGATGCAACTGAAAATACGTCCATGACTGCTATTTAAATCCCTACTCTAAATACTTTAACAATATTTGCAAAACTAACACGCTTGCCTGTCTTCTTTTTCTTCATTGTAGGAATCCCAACAACTAAGCCTCCATTAAATATGTACAAGTGATTCTTGACCTTATTCTCTTGCAAAACCATACTATCATTTTTGTACATTTTACACCAATCATTTCGTCCATAATATGTATACCCACTAGAAGCTAACTCACCTAAGACAATCAAATTGTAGCTATAACTCAATATGTACCTTACATGATGAAAAGTCTTAATTACACCATTATAAGATCTAAGCCGAACACTCCTAACGCTTTGAATTTGTACCTTTTCATTGTTGGCAACAACAATATCCCCATTATTCTTATTATTTCTTAATTCTACAAAGCAATTGCTATCATTGCAGACGTGGATAGAAGCAACTAAATCTAAAACTCAACCTTTGTCAACTTTCAAGGGTTGAGTTTCATTTACAGAAGTTGTCAAAAGGAGACCATTATCAAACACAATAGTTGTAGTGTCACTCTTTTCTTCATTTGATAACTTCTTGTCATTCATCTTTTTAAAAGTAACCATATCTCTTATCAACTTCTTACAATGCACTTGGATATATCCTTTTTTACCACAATAATAATATTTTGTATCACTGTAATCTCTATCTCTTAACTTGAATCTTCCTCTTGATCCATTAATTCTCTCTTGAATTCTTCGTCGATCAAAAACCTTTACAGTTAGTACACTCCCTCTAAGTGATGAGTTTTCTGTTACCATAAACATTTCGTTCTCATGTAACAGAGCAATCACATTATCTAACTTCAAAGTAGAGCTACCCACCAATAAAGTTTGAACTCGAGATTATAGGATTTAGGCAAAAATGACAACAAAATTAAAACCTTCTCTTCGTCTTTTAATTCATCAATAGAAATGACCAGCAATTGAAAAACTAACCTATTAAATTCATTCAAATGATTACGAAGACTCGTAACTTTTTTCATCTTCAAAGAATATAAATTTATCTTCAAATATAATTTATCAGTCAATGACTTCGATGTGTAAATACTCTCAAGCTTATCACACAAATTCTTCGTAATACTGTCAGTCAACACACTACACTTTACCTCTGAGACTAGGGTCAATCTAATAGTACTAGCAGCTTTCTTTTGAATTTTATTTCAATTAGTGTCAATCATTCTCTTAGGTTTACTATTCTCTAACGCCTAATCTAACTCTTGTTGTACTTTTATGATACTAACAGATTTCGAATAGTACTTTGCCATAGCATAAAATTACTATTTCCATCAAATAAAGGAATCTCAAACTTAGGTATACTAAAAATATCATCTTCACAAAACTCAAACTCTTTTCTCTTGAGTTTTCTTTTTCCTATGTCTCGAATCTCACTCTAATACCACTTGTTAGAGAAACAAACAAACATGCGCAGCACACATAAACAATATAATAAGTTCAAAACAAAAAATAAGAATACACAAATATATTTGTTTTAACCTAACTCAAGGTGAACTAGTCTAAATCCAATCCACTAACATATAAATCTTTACAACTGAGAGATTTTTAAAATGAGAAAAAATTATCTAAAACTTCTTATTCAAAACATAACCCAAAGCCAATTACACCCCTTTAATAGCTCATTTAACTAATCTTTTGGTGTCTAACTATTTTGAGATTACCAAACTAAAATCAAAGCATTTTACTTATAAGAGTGAAACCCCTCCAATGTGGAATATAAGATAAACTCTCAATTATTATAACTTCAGTCAACTTTTAATATAAGATTAAGAGATTCAAGATAAACCTCAACAAATCTCTACCATGAATCAAGTAACAAATTTTTTGCCATGAATCAAGTTGGCTAATTAATAGGGTGCCTTGGGATTCAATCATATCGTATATCTTTAACATATACATACATACATATATATATATATATATATAGATAATGACCAAATTGCGTGCAGACTGATGTCAATTTCATGTTCTATGAAAATTAAGTTGGGGGTGAGTGCTAGAATGTAAAAAATGCAGATATGAATTTGCACCAGGAAATATTTTTCTCCGAGTTTATGTTAATGAGGGCATTAATGCACTGAGCAGATGGTATAATTTTCATTGATGAATATATTATCCTAAGGCAACAAGTGGCAGTTCTTTTTTGGTGGAATCACTTTCCGATTTTGGAATTTAGATATCCTATTTTCCATACAAAAAACTGTAGCTTGTCCTCGATTTAAGATGTATAGTATTCCCAAAAAGAAATTGAAGAGCTACATAATTTGAAAAAAAAAAAAGAAAAAACCTCTGGTCTCAATCATCATCATATTAAATCCAAACTTAAGCTTTATTCGCTTTACATACAGATGAGTAATTAACTTACAATTGTCAAGCAGGTTCTAAATGATGAAATGTTTGCGATTTTAGTCCTGATGGCACTTTTTACCACTTTCCTGACAACTCCAGCAGTTTTGGCCATATATAAACCTTTGCGTCGTTTGGAACGAGCGTTGCCCCCTGCTCAAAACTCAGAAGACGATCTTCGAATCCTAGCATGTATCCACGGACCTGGCAATGTGCCTTCACTCGTCAACCTTATCGAGTCAATCCATACCACCAATAAATCCCTACTCAAGCTCTATGTCATGTACCTTGTTGAACTTACTGATCGATCTTAGTCTATTTTGATGGTTCAGAGAACCCGAAAGAATGGTTTTCCCTTCGTTAATAGCCTATGTCGAGTCACCCAATATGACCAAATTGCAGCTGCTTTTAGGGCGTATGGCCAACTTGGGAGACTAGCCATCCACCACTCAACGGCCATTTTAGCGTTGTCGACAATGCATGAGGATATTTGCCATGTTGCAGAGGATAGAAGGGTAGCAATGATCATCTTACCTTTCCCAAGCAATGGAGAGGGGCGGGTGAGGAGGCAATTGAGAACATCGGCCGTTGCTGGAGAGAGGTCAATCAAAGGGTGCTAAAATGCGCACCATGCTCAGTGGCAGTGCTTATAGACTGTGGATTCAATAGTCCATCAGAGCAAGCGGCAGAACCCACCACCACCATGCCAAAAAGAGTAGGTATTCTGTTCATTGGAGGACCAGATGATCGTGAAGCTCTGAAGCTCGGTGGGAAAATGGCTGGACATCAACTAGTTCAGGTGACTCTGAGATTCCTCCAAAGTGATGGGAACAGAAGGGAGAAGGTAAACGTACACAATTTTATCCAATATTTTTGAAATATCTATGACTTCTATCTTTGTGCTGAAGAAACGCTTTTAGCAGGAACTGGAAGAGCTTGCATTGTCGCAGTTTAGGTCTGATGGATCTGTACAATACGAAGAGAAGGCAATAAGCAACGTGGCAGAGGAAGTGCTGAGAATAGGACAAAGCAGAGAGTATGATATTCTTGTCGTTGGAAAGAGGCAGCTCCCATCATCTATGGAATTAGCAGGAAATCATACGAAGAGTGAAGAATTGGGAGCCATGGGATATATTCTTACTTCAGCAGATCCAGGCATCTTTGCATCTACCATAGTGATCCAATGACGATGCGAATCAGATAAAAACAAGAGCAGTGTCTCAAAGATGATATGAGACAAAGAAGCTATTCATAGATTTGTGACGAAAAATGGGATGAGCAAGTGTGGCACTGTAAATCTAAACGTCATTGGAATCTTTAGGTTTGTTTAGAACTTGAAAATAACAATAATAGTTAAATACTATATAATTTATATATATAATTACGTCCTAGAAAATCCAGCACTCGTTTCAAAATTTTCCGTTCCTTAATGGTAACGAGTTTCGAGATAGTGCAACATTTTCCTCAAATGCAAATGAGCTAACCCAGCTGGAAATAAAAGTCGGTGTGTCGTAGGCCTCGAGTCTAGGCAGTTACCGATCATGATAAATAAGAACAAACAAAAACCCTGTTGCCAACAGACTGGTCATATTCCAAGCAACAAGTGGAGCTATTAGCCAACAGGATGGCTTGATTATTCCAAGGAACAATTAAAGCTTGTCTCGTGGTGCATGGCCAGAGCTTAAGTGCCCAAATGCAATATAAGCTACAACAGCAGAGGAAAATTTTAAACGCATTAAAAACTTCTGGACAAAAGTTATAATAACATGAACTTCTCAACATTCCTTGGATTGATCAAGGTATGGGACAGACTTATAGACTTTTAGCTGTGTTCTTATGAAGTTCACTTGTTTCTTGACAACAAGAGCACGTTTTGCATCCAGATAATTTGCAAAATACTCTTCCATCACTAGTAATTAGATCAGAGTGTTGGTCAAAACATGAAATATTTCAACAAAAGATCAAACTACTAAAGATTACCAGAAATAAAACAAAGCACACAACAAAAGGATAGGAAAAAAAATATTTAGCTACAGTTGGTACATATCCAAAGCAACTTTGAATTTTCATGTCGCAGATAACGTTTCCTCACACTCACAACCAGACCTCTTTCCAATTGGGCAATTAGCATTTTCTGTCCACAGTTTTACAAATACAAACTACTCTTAAACTCGAAACTTACCCAAGAAATTACATAATAAAATTGTTAAAGTTTAAAAAAAAAAAAAGGAGGGGGGGGGGGGGGGCAAACGAGTTGCTAAAGATACACTAACTTCATGAAAAGCGTTCCCTCTTCCATTTGGAGATCTAATTCACGAACAATTTTCTTAGCAGCTGTGCTAAGGTAGAAAAAATTCTATCCATCCCCTGTGTGCATTATCCCAGAACGAATCAATTGTGTATTAGTTACCTTTTGTGGATAAGTAAGGTTCTGATAAATGTGATATCATTCAAGTTCAACCTGGCCACACATCAGATAATCTCATTTATGTATTGGAACTCAAACAAAACATGATCACAATGCAAAGACTAATAAAACAAGAAAATAAGAAAGGGAATATATAAGAAATTAACCTTAAAGAAAGCCTCCACCTGTCCATGTGGCATCTGATTTTCCATTGTGGCCGACAGCTTTTTTATCAGATAAACCGTTATAGAAATTATCATATCCATCATCCTTGGCATCGTCCCAGCCAGCCCAACCATCATTGCTATGAGAAGCAGTCACTTTCGTAGTATCTTCCTTCCTATTGTCTTTTGTGTCCCAGTCATCCCAAGAATTTGAGCTATAAGAATTATAATTCCCACCAGAGGAGGATTGTCCTCCAGAAGTAGAATTCCATCCTCTATTCTCCTGTTTAAACTCCTGATAATATCCATTCTTTTCACTATCATTTCGTTGCCAGTTACTATCATTTTTCCAGTTCATGCCATCTTTAGTGTACTCCTCAACCTTCTGAGAAGCTAATGCCATGACCCCTTTCATGATCCCCCATGTCCTCTGGCCAATCTCACTTGTCTTTGCAGTGACAACATTGACAGTTTCGTTAACTTTGGTATCATAGCCACCCTCCTTAACCTGCAAAAAAAGGTACATCATGCCCTTGTGTATCTAACTCCAAATCCCCATATCCTTGTAAATAGCAACAAGAAAAGCAAACCCATCAAATTATAACCATAACATTCAACAATTTAGCCAAATCAAAATGCCAAAATTAAAGCAGTATGCTTTTCCTAAGGTATCAATTCTAGGCAAGAGAGTTTTAACTTGAATGTAATGATAGCCTCTTAGGGCCACAAAGAGCAACCCTCGAGTCAAAAACCAATTTCCTTTGCAGAAGAAGAATTAAACTGTTTACTGTTTAAAATCCATATGATTTGGAACAAACATATAGCAAAAGGATTAATGATAGAAAGGATTCAAATTTCTCTGCTTTATTTCTAATACAGAATTACCCCAAAGGTTCTAATCAGTTCTTCATATGTCTCCCATGGAACTGTTATATAACCCAGCAGACAGCAGTCTTGTGGTTTAATGAATAAAGAATATTTAAAAGAGTATCTTTGACCTTAACAATGCCCTAGAATGTTTAAAAGAGCACAGAAAAATAGGTGAAATAGAGTGAAAGCTAATTTATCTTTAGTTTAGACATTAGGAAAGCAATTAGGAGAGCAATAAAGTGAAATTAAAACTATAGGTTGATCAACTGTAACCCATTGATTGAGAGGCATATTTTGAAGTCAAAGATTTTAACTTAGGAGAAAATTTTACAGCAACAATTTCCTATTTTTTCTCTTATCATTTGGTTATCCAAACAAGAAACGTTGAAACTAGGTGCACCATGCAGAAGATTACCAACTTAACAAAAAATATACTGAACTTAATGGTTTAATTTTATTCACATATATACTTTATTCAATATAATATATAAAACATTAGGTCTTATATACTTTAAATATTTTGACATGTTGTACTTATATTATATAAAACATTGGAGGCCTAATGATAGAATAACTAAGTGAGGAATTTGTCTGTTCATCATGCATTTTGTATAAAATCATATAGGGTTAAACAATTTATCATATACAGTACAAAGATAAACAATGTTGATGCATCTAAAAGAAGATTATCATGCAAATATCAATAATAAAGATTCAATAACAGCGAATATCATCGTTAATCAATGTAAGATATCAACTTGCAAAACAATCAAAAAAAGAATTCAAAATTAATATTCCCACAAAAATACCTTGGAGGTGAACTCCTTCGTCCCTGCTTGGACAACATTTGCAGCAGATTGAGCAGCGGATGCAGCTACCAAAGATAACCTCCCAATCCCCTGAACCAAAAACAAATCAGCCAATAGCTAATCGTTATCACCAAATAAGGAAAACAACAAAAAAAAAGAAATAATCTCTTAACCTGAGATACAACAGAGAGCACATCCCCCTGAGAATTATTATTATTATTCCTTTGGGTAGGCATAGGACTCGATCCAAACCCAACATATTTCCCTCCTTGCGAAGGTGGTAACCCCTCGGGCCTCGATTCATTCTCCACCATCTTCCTCGCAAAAAAGCTCTCTTTATTAGCCGCCGACGCCTCCAATTGGGATCTCGTGTACATATCCTCCGTGGACCTCGACCTCACCGGAGCACCTCCCATTCCACCACCATGATTATTCCCTCCCCTAAAATCACTCGCCGATTGATTCCTCCTCATATCGCTCGAAGATCTAAATGAATCGTCATTATCCCAACTATCCCACCCTTCATTATTCCCATAATTACTGCCCCTACCACCGCCACCACCACCGCTCAACGGTGGCCTTCTATTTCCATTACCACCTCCGTTGAGAGTCTCTTTCGCAACCGGTGGATCCCGCCATGGGCGACCCTCGGCTAGGGCTTGGATGCGATCACGATAAACACTTGCGGCATTAGTGTTATATTTGGTAACGATATCGGTGTCTTTAGGGATTCCGTATTGAGCCAAAAAGGCGTTGAGTCGCTCGTTACCACCCGATTCCATTTTCTTGATCTGGATCTCGGACCATGAGTCCATGGTAACGGATCGGACGAATGAGATGTGGACACCTAAGCCACGGTGTTTCCCGGAGCATTCTAAGCACATGAAAATACCGTAGGAAACTGAAGCCCATTGTGGATTCTTTTGGTTGCAATCTACGCAAGTTTTGTTACCTGGCTGTGATTGGAGTTCGCGTAACCGTCTCGTTGCCGCCATCTTTTAATCCGATCTGAATTAGATCCAACAAGAGAGAGAGAGAGAGAGAGAGAGAGAGAGAGAATAAGAGAATTGATCTATAAAAAAAAATCTAAAAAAAAAATTATTGGAAGGCTAAAAATTTCCGGAGGAAGGAGATCACCGACACCGTCAAAACAAATTGAGGGGGAAGGGTGAAGATGACTAGTGGTGTGGTGTTGTTGAAATACGTGATTTTGGATTTTTTTTTTTAAAACAAAAAAAAAGGTAAAATTTCAGTTCCTTATTTTAACAAAACACGTGCCGTTGGTGTGAAAATATTCAACTCGGTTGTGACTCGTTTTCGCACTTTGTAAAGCTGTTCCTCCTCCTTCAGTCCTTGACTGTTGCGTTGCTGTGTGTATTGGCAGTGATGGTGATTTAAAATTTTTAAAAGAAATTCATAGGAAGAATCTAATTATTTTTTCAGCCTTTTTTGATTGAGTTTTTTATTTTGAAACTTAAAAAAAAAAAAAAATTCATAAGGCTTTAGGGAGGTAGGTGATTTATTAGTATTAAATTTTAAGTAAAATGTTGTATCGTGACTAGAGGTGTAAATAATATATTAGTATTCGTAAGTTACTCGGGTTCGATTCGAAAAAAACTCGAATTCGATTCGATTATTATCGAGTCGAGCTTGAGCTCGAGTAGCTCGACTTATCGATCGAACCGAATTTGAGTATTCTTATATCTGACTCGAGTAGCTCGTGAGTTTAATCGAGCTTTTATATTTAAATATATTTTTATTATTTTAATTAATAAAATATTTCGAGTCCGAGTTCGAGTTCGAGCATGAATAATCGAACTTTTGTCGAGTATACGAATCGAACTTATTTTTACATATTAATCGAGCTTAATCGAGCGAGTTCAAGTAGCTCGAATTCGATCACGAATCAAGCTCGAGCTTAAAAAATAAAACTCAATCGAGCTCGAACCGAGTATCGAACCCTGAGTTGTGAGTCGAGCTCGAACTCGAACTTCTCACTATTTGGCTCGACTCGGCTCGTTTACAACCCTAATCGTGACTTCTACATCGATCGAGTCAATTACCAAGTTTGTGAATAGAGTTCAACTGGGGTTGGATTCGGAATAAAGATTTTTAAATTTGGATTTAATTAGTTTGGTTTAAGTTATTATTTTATTAATAAAAAATTATTTTTTAAAATTTAATTTTAGATATATTAAAAAATATTAAAATATTTAATGGACATATTTAATGGGATTCAAATGATTTAATCAAGGCTTTAAGCAAAGGTTTAACAGTGTCAATGAACCGGGCTCAATTGGATCTAATCCATAAGTGCCCCTAATTGATGCGACTTTCTAAAATTCAATTTTGTCTATGAATCTACGGGCAAATAACTAGACTTCATTTAAACATTTACATAGTATAATAATAAGATCAATGTGACTTTAAACATTTACATAGTATAATAATAAGATCAATGTGACTTTGTAAACATCCTATGAATTAGTGTGAGAATAAAAATATTTGCAATTATGATATGTAAAAAGAATAAAATAATATTTGCCATCTAACATGCATCAAATAAATAGGAAAAAGAAACAACAACCCAATAAAGATTAGGATTATGTGTTCCATTATTACGCGGACCAAGAAGTTTCAGTTGACCATACTGTTTCATAATCATAAGGTGGGTAACAAGGTTGGACGGTTCAGATTGTGTGTTGGTGTAAGCAGTTTCCTAAGTTGGTAGTCTGATGGGATGGTTCAAAATGTTTGTTCATGATGAAAAAGTGCAGAGGGAAAATTTGTTATTCCGTCTTGGATTAGCCTTGTTAGATCATGATTATCAAGTTGACAATTAAAAGTTTAAACTGATCCAGCCATAAAACACGTATTTCAGAACTCTCAAATGAATCCTGAAAAATATTTAAAAATGAAATAAGTTTTAGTAGTAGTATTTCATTAAGAGACTAACAGTTGACAAAAATGTTGGCCTGTCCTTTTATAAAATGATTTTACAGAAATTGAAAATTGATATAGAAAATACAAGATGATGATGATGATGATGATGATGCTAAGCATTTGATTTACTAGAAACATTGCTCTTTGCAGATGAAACCCAGTTTAGTCTAGAGTCCATGCCTGTATCCAAAACCCAAAACGAAATGAGTGAGTACCAGCAAAACATGTTTATTTCAACAGTGATTAATATTGTGTTTTTGAGTTGTAACTACTAACCTGGATTTTGCCATCAGAGGAACCAGCATAAAGCATTCCACCATCCATGTCTGAAACCAAGGATGTAATCTTTGCATGTCCCTTGCTGCCCACTTTAATAGAAGCAACTCTGTTGATTCTTTCTTTCAACCAAACCTCAATGATCCCACATTTCGTGGCTGTAAATATGAAATCATTGTTGACAGCAGTTCTTTGGATGTCGAATCCCGTTGAAAATGATCCCATTACTGCCTTACTGGATCGACAGAACACCTTCATTCATACATGCAAATATGTTTTAAACAGGAAATTACTAATTGTTTGTAAATATCCTGACAAAAGAATTGAGCTGCATACTTGCGTATAAATATACCTTTCCTGCAATTCCATCAACTGCTGAACCACCAGCGTAGAGAAGATCATCATGTATGTTCAGGGAATTTACAGTTTGTTTTCCCAACAATTTTCTTGTCCCTGAATGGAACGTGCTCAATGTAGAACTGCACAAGTCCAGCTCCTGAATTTTTTTTTTTTTCTAGTTCAGCATATTGACGATTGGTAATTATTCACAAGAGTTAACAGCTATTTTGGAGAGGGTGCTTACCTGTATGATGTAGCCAGAGCAACCAAAATATAACTTATCTCCTGCCATGGCTATGCACTTCACATGTTTATTGAAATTTATATGCTTTGGAATCCCAGACCAATTATACACCTGCCAAAATGCCACTTTTTGTTTTAAAAATCTTCTTATGGACTGATCTGAACTGCTTGTTCCATATTTATTTTAACAAGGCCCAGGAATGTGCTTACCTTAACTCCATTTCCTTGAGAAATAAAACATGCAAATTTAGCATTGGCTGTTAACTCATACACTGCCTCTTTCACATCATGAACTTGAATACAGTGTATTTCTTCAGGTTTGAGTGCCCATACCTGCAGATAAAAGCATATAAGCAATTTGTTGTAGAGAATTATTAAGAATCCTACTCAAGTAATTTATAGTACCAGCAAAGCTTGAATGCTTGACAATATAATACAATTAAGTCTCACTCGTGAACTATTATAAGATGCAAAATTTTCATCTGCTATTTTGTTTCAGGACCTTCAGTTCAATATATAAGAGCAATTAAGGACACTTTATATGTGCTTATTGTTACTTTATTGCTACTTCTTTACTTGAAGCTTTAAAAACTCTGTGATTAGGTCATTCTGTCCAGGAAAAAAGAAGATAAGAACAAGAGGTTAAAAGAAACAAATGTCTACTCAGTTATGAGATGATTTACCCGAATTGTTTTGTCCAAGGAGCCACTATATAGTCTATCACCTGAAGCTGGAACATACAAACATGTAACAGCTTTCATGTGCTCATGAACTTCTTGAACCAGCCTTAACCCCCTTTTCCCAGCATCCCAAACCTTGAGGCAAAAAAAATTTAAGCACAGTTATTGGAAGAAAATAGTTAGAAGTATTTTATGTTGCTTGCATGCAAGCATGTTTGTTTGAGGGAAAGAGTAATTTAGGCTCAGACCTTTATGGTTCCATCTGAGTGACTGCTTATCAAGCAACCCTTCAGATGAAGCATACACAGAACCTCACCATTTGCGCTTGAATCTAGTTCTACAACATCGGTACAGCTCCACAATTCTGTCTATAATCCAAAATATTATTTACAATCAGTTATCAGACAATTCATATTGTTTATGGTGAAGGATATGAATAGTTCTGAACTTACTGCATTCACAGATGACAAATTCATTAAAGCTTTTAGTATATCAGCTGCCACAAATGAATTCCTCTTGAGCTTTCTCAAAGTTTTGTAGATGCATTTAGCACACTTTCCCAATTCTTCCAGGGCAGCTAAGAATATGATAATTCAAGTTAATGATTATTTTTATGGAAATGAACATGATAATGCAATGTTAAAGATCTCCTAAAGTCACTTACCTGGATCATTAATAAAGGTTTTCAAAGCAAGGGCCGCCAATATCTTCTCCTCCAAGTTCTTAGATGATTGGAGGACATTTATAAATTCATCAAGCAAAGATTCACGAGCAGCCTCTCTTAGTCCAGTATCAGGCAGTGTTACAAGCATGTAAGTGAGCCATGTGGCAATAACAAGGCATGACTTTGCCATTTTTAAGGAATTACTCTTGAAGCATTCCTCCAATGCTTTGAAAATAGATCCTTTTTCATGATTGCACAGGACAAAAGCCACTCTTTTCTCCCATGAACATGCAGCTTTCTCTTCCTCTTCCTGCAGCAAACAGCAAGATTCAGGATTGACCCAAAGCAGCGAGAAAAAAGAAAAGAGCACAGATCATATCTCCACAAAATCCGCATTCAACATTAATGCTAACCATCATTTCAGTCAAATCTTTTTCATGGTAATCTGCCTTTATTAAAGCATTGTAAGGTTGATCAAAGCCTGCAATCTTGAGTAGCCAGGCTTCAATATAGGACTCTCCTGAGGAAATAAGACGGCCTGGAAGAGATAGGAGTGCTTGTAGAACTATCATTTGTTGATTAGGAAAATCCTTTCTACGGAGTGCTTCAATCAATGCCTCTATAGCTTCTTCCCTATAAATGCTCATCTTCCGTGGCTCAGCCTGGAAAAATTCAGACATGTTAATCTATGTTTAATAGCTTACTACGTACTAATAGCTACTAGTGTATATGAAAAGAAAACTGTGATAAATTTTGAAGTATTGTTAATTTCAAAACAAACCAGGAGGTCAAGCTGCAGAAGAAGAGTGGAAATGGTCGGCTGATGTTCCATGGGGGCCATCTGAAGATAAACAAGGAAAGTATGCATGGTGCTGAATGCTCCTTCAGTCCTAATTATTTGCAAGATCTGATTGCTAAGTGTTCTCCTGAAACAAAGGAAGAATAGGATTTAGACACAGATTTGTATAAGATGAAATGTAAAGTGTAATAGTAGTTTAAATACCTATTCAGCTGAACCAATTCGGAGAGAAAATCAATGCATATGCCTCGTATACTATCATTGCCAGCATGAAGTAACTCAAGAACATAAGAAAGTTCAATTCCATTTGCTATCAGGTTCCTGCAACTTTTATCAACTTTCATACAACATAGGAGTATGGAAATAATAGACCTCCTTCCTTCCACCCTATCCAGAAACTTGACCAGGGAAGGAATTACATTTGCAGAAACAACACTTAAGGCATTGAAAGACCTACTGTTTTCATCCCCTCCCATCAACATTTGTTCAAGCATTGCTATAGCAGCATCCTTAGGTTCCATTATCGACAGAAGATCATCTGATTCTTCATTTTTATGCAGTATTATCTGGACAAGGGAGGGGACAAGGTCATGAAAAGAAAGCTGAGCAAATGTTGGTCTCAGTTGATATATAAGAACAGCAGCTTCAGATAGGCCATTCTTAAGCAAAGCAGCAAGACAATCAAAATCAGAATCTACACTGGTCAATGTCTCTCCAACATTTTCATCTGTGAAGATTAGTTCTGAAAGAATGTAAATTGAGGTCCTGAGAACTTCTCTATCCAAAGAAGCTGACAGTATTTCGACAAAACCATTAACAATTGTCGGTTTGGATAAATAAGAATGAACTGCAACATCACCCTTTGAGTCCTTCCATAATCTAGCAATTGCCAGCACTGCTGATTCACATTCTTGTAAATTGTTTGAAGTACAAAGACATGACACAAAAGGTTTTAATCCATTGATAATTGTTTCAACCGCAGCTTGAGATATCACACTGGTTGGTGATGTGGCTACTGCTGCTCGTGTAAACCTTTTGCCCCTTTGGTTTACATAATCATCTATACCCTTGTAATTAGAGATGTTGGTTGCTCTGGTTGATGGGGACACCAATACAATTTCTTTCCCTAAGGGGGAGCTGAACGAATTTCTGGGTGTTTCAGAGTATGAAAACTCCTGAGCAATATCAGGATGCTGCTCTTTCCAAGATGTTATTAGCCTCTTCAAGACATAGTTTGTCTTAGGCAGTGCGCTTGAAGAGAGAGGATGCCGAGTAATGGGGCAGGTTGCGTTCCCTCTATTAAGCCATTCTTCAATTGCTTTTCTTTCATACGTTTGGCCTGTTTCGAGTGTAACAGGGTCATTGAAAATCTGGCCTGTGATGGGGCAGACGAAATCTTTTGGTGGTCTTGACTGCGGAGTCAGCTTCTCAGATAAGGGGAGGGCAACACAGCTATGGTTCCCTTCATTACTTTCGTTTTGAGAACTGCAAAATGAAATGAAATATGAATCTCACGAGAAAAATACTGATAAAATCCTTAGTATAGATTTGTTCAATCAACATTAAGGTTAAAAGACAAGTTTCTTACCTATTTTCCAGTGTTCGGATATTCACATGATCATAACTCATACTCCGAGGTCGACCACGATTCTTCCTACAGCTTTTCTGCATCTCCTAAATTTCCAAGTTAATATCAGAATAAGTTAAACATTTCAATTTCAGATGCATGAAGAAACAAATGAAATGAAGTAAACTTTTGGTATTTCGGAGTTCAGACATACTATCACTTCACCATCTGAGTCTTCTGAGCTTATGCTATGATCATTACTCTTGCAATTTGGGATAGGCAAAGAGGTAGGATCACTAGAATCTGTGATACGACAGGATAAAAGGCGCAAAAATGATTTCGATTCCTTTTTAGAATTCACATCAGGTTTCGGAGATGAATTTTTTGAGGAAGAGGTCTTAGGGGAATCTACAGGTGAATAGATTGAGGGGGAACGTGTTTGATTCATAAGTTTTGTAGGTTGAACAGTTGTTCCAATTTCCTTATCACTGGTCATTTTCCTCCCTTTGCTAGATTGGACCTCATCAAATTGATCTTCAGATTCAATAGAAGCATCATTGGGCTCATAATCAGAATCATCTTCATTTTCCTCAGGGATACCATCCTACCATCATAAAGCAAAGACAGAATATGTCATTAAAAATTTGCTAAGCCTTAAAAAAATACTGAATAATAATCATAAAAATTTGATGCTACTGATAACAAATAGTTGGACTGATTCAACTTTCAGCCTTACATCAGGATCCCAAGCAGCAGATTCATCCATATTCAGTGAGTAAGCTGAAGAAGTTGCACTCATTCTGCTAGAAGAAAATGTCCAGTGAACAATGTGAGAAGTAATTATAAACAAGGCTGCTAAGCATTTTGCTAATAACTGGCTATAGAGTTGAAGCTAACCTGTTGTTTCCTACTCTTTTACCATGTTTAGATTTGAGAACTGGAGAGAAGCCGGCACTTTTAGGTAGTATAGGACCAAATTTTACATAATCAGGGATTGACCTGCTCACCTCATGTAGAGGAGTCATTGGTGGCTCAGCAATTGGTAACATGGGAGCCATCACTTTCTTGTTAGCCGTTGAATCAGAATTTATACAGTCTTTGTAGTATTTAGCAAACAACCGCGTATTTTCATCTAATGATTCACCATAAAGTTGCTCCAGTTTTTTCAAATTTTCTACTTGATCAGGCCTCATGGAGAAAATCAAAGATTCATTGAAGAATTGATCAAAATCAGTAGTAAAAGACAGATCAGAAGAATCAGGAATTACTTCCATCATTAGCCTTTGCCTAGCTTCTGAATACCACCCAACAATTGAACTCATGTGTGGGAGGAAAAGTTCTTTCCAAAGTTCAGGAGCAAAATCAATCCGCGAGAAAAAGGGATCGATAATAAACATCTCAAGAACATGAAGAACTGAATTACGAACATTGTTACGCAACTTCCAAAGGTACGAAAGGTTCAAATGAGCCCATGCAGACAGGTAAGAATTGGGGACACCAGCAGTTTTATGGTCAGAAGTCAGCATAGCACACACTTGAAGCATCTTCTCAGCATAGTCTAACCTTGCATTCTTGGTTTCCATATTGGATGTCTCAATAGCTTCTTCAAGGGCTTCAATTCCCCAATCTAGATTTGCTAGCACAGCTTGATCAGAGTATCGAACCTCGATGTCCTTGTCTGTGCTTCCATCTTCAGCTGCTAATCTCTCTGCACACTGTTCTTTGTGTTGGATTCTTTGTTCTTTATTGATCAACCGATCTTGACTAAAACTTCCCACAGTTGTAATCAATGCCCTTACAATTTCCTTTTGGTCCATTGCAAATCTATAGTTCCCAGCCATCTTTTCCTAGGCCTCTAGACTCCTTACTCAAAGTGTAAACTAGAACATCAGGTCTCCATTTTCATTCAGAAAAATGCTTCAGAATGTGTAAAAATATTCTAAATAAAACATTTAAAGTTTCCAAAAAAAAAAAAAAAGGAGAGAAATATGATCCTAGCAAATAAACTTCTATGAAGAACTGCTTACCTTGTGGAAGAAGTAACAATCAAAATCGAAGAAGATATGGGTTGGCAATTTTTACCAGTGTAGCTTCAGAGGAATTTTTTGAGATGAAGAATAATTCTTCATCAATTTCAAAGACTAGAAAGATCAGGGCCGGCCTCTAAATTATTAGATGGCAGTAGCTGTGCCGGCTTTGTCATTTGTTTATGTGATGATCAAAGCATAGGGTCGACAAAGCATTAATATATCACAAATCAACAATATTAATATAAGCATATACTAATTAATAATATTACAAATCAACAATATTATAAACTCTTCAAGGGGCAGATTTTATGTCCTTTTCAGTTCTTTTTTTTTTTCGTTCTCAAACTCTCTTTTGGATCATTAATTCTGATTTTTGTAGACCATTATTCAATATTTCTTTGAGATTTTTTTTTACAAAAGATATCATAATTTAAAAATAATAAAAAAAATTTAGGTATTCATATCTTAATTTAATACTTGTTAGATACCACAATTTTATAAATAATTACATAAACCAATTAAATTAAACATCATGTTTAAGTCAAACTTTGAGCACTTACAAGTATTGATTTTTTTTTTTGAAGTTATACTTATAATCAAGTATTATATTCATATAATTAATTATTATATCACTGAATAATTAACTAATATATTATAATTTAACTAAACAATCAAATTTATACACAGTAGAACTTGAATACAAGTATTGATTATTGAACTCTAAATCATAGTTAAATGTTTTTCCCATCATTTGTCTTCCATTATTTAAGTTAGAAAATTAGTTACTTCCAAATTATAAGTTCAAAAAAAGGTTTCTTTATCCTAATTGAATTAAAACTAGTTTTGTTAATCGTTATTCTTAATATTAATTAATAATCAACAGCAAATTAACCCGTTATATATTAAAGAAAAGAATAGCCCATTAGCCTTATTTAGATGAATTGTTGTTCTGTCATATTCCAACAGCCCATGAAAAACAAAGTTTATGGCCCATGGACTATGGCCGAATCCCCAGCTGCCGACCAGTCGACCACTAAAAACTTCAAAATCTGGGTGCGCCTGCTGGCTGCCACTGCCCAAATTTCCCAATTTCCTCCTCTTTCTCCCACTACTTTGGAGAAGGAAACTATTATGTTGGCTGACAGCATCTTTTTGGGATCTATCTCCATCCAAAGTTAACAGCTGCCCTCACATTTGACTTTGGCATTGCATGATCAGCATGGATCAGCTGATCGATCAAGTAGCCGACCAACTTCCCAACAGTCCGAAATTTCCTCCGTAGTACAAGGTTTGTCCCCATCCAACATTATGGGCAATTGGAACTTGGAACCATGAATAGTATGGAGCAAAAGCTAACATGCCCATACATTGTGTTAGAAATACCAAAAAAAAAAAAGTCCAAAAATTAAAGAATGGGGATGCTTGGAAGAAAAACGCTTGCATTTTTCCTTGGTCTGATCAACTCCTGGTGAATTTATTGCTTTTGATCAATCATACAACCACCCATCATCAAATATACCATATTGGTACGGCTAAGATTGTCGTTTTTTGGTGATTGTGCTACTTGATGAATAGTTTCAATTCATTTTCTTTTTTTTCTGATGCTATTTTCTTTGATGTTAAAGAGTAGATTTTATTTATTGAGATTAAAATTTTAATATTCTAACATATTATATGACAACGACGGTTTTTCTTTCATTATATAGCAAATGGTTGATAGAGTAAATATCATGGCAGCTAATTAATTCTTTTCTCTGCTCGAACGTGCCTGTCTTATTCATTTCTCGATCATCTTTGTTAATAAGCGTGGACCTTTTAGACGTTGAGGTAGGAAGGATAAGATTCAAGATTGGGTTGGTAAAAGTTAAATATTTATGTTAATGGGAATTAATTGAATCAAGGCCTACCAAATAATAATAAGTACCATTTTGCGAATTATTTTTTACACTATTTTATTTTCATATGCTTTGCTTTTTTTTTGTTTTTGTAACAGATAATTATATGTTCACTAAGCTACTTGAGAATTTTCCTTTCCTTTGAATTTTTTTTAAGAGAAAAATGAAATATTAATGATAATAATATGAAATGTCAATTGAAAGGGTTCCATGACAATGTTGTTAAAAAGGAAAAAGACAAAGATATTTATATTGCTCGTGTCTTTTCATTGTCTAAACCGTGTGGGGAGGATTTCGTGGCTTTTTCAGGTTTTTTTTTTTTTTTTTCAGTTTTCAAGCACTCTGTGGAAAATTGTAATCCTGGATTTCAGTGGATCTTCAGAACTTTTACATTTGGTACGTGTCTTTCTTGAAGGCGACGCCGTACAGGTGATAAAGGGTTGCAAATATGGATTTGATGAGTTATCAAATATGGGAAACATCCGTATAAAGGTAAGGACCATAAGAAAACTTGTTACGATCTTTTCAGGTTGATTACGTCAATCCCAATGTCAATGGGGCTGCTCATTGTTTAGCTAAATATGCTTTGAATAGTTCTGTTGAAGAGATATGATGTGGGGTCTGTCCAACCATAATCCTAGATATTATCAACACTGATTGTATTGATTTTAAGTAATTTATTAATTATGTTTGATTAAACAAATAATTAATGCAAACAAACTTTAAGAGAAGAAAAGAAAACTTGAGAAAAAAAATTTTCCCATTATTGCTTCTATGAAGTTAATGGTGAACTTCCAGTACTCCATAAGTTACATCTCATTAAAAAAGAAGTAATGAGCTCCAAAACTAATCACGCCCTAACTTCCAACCAAATAAAAGAAAAATAATTGTTCAAAATTTAAGGGCTTGTTTTTGTTTTTGTTGTCAAACCAATCGACAGTGTCTTTCTTCATATGGATTACATGTAATCAAAGGTAAAGGAAAAAATGGGAAGATTTTGAGCTTGTTACTTTCATTTTATTGATACGATGCAGCTACAGCCTAGTAACTAGTAATTAATTTCGTTTTAAATATCTTTGTCGATCGTAAAAGTGATGCAGTGATTTGATATTTTAAAAGGTTTAATGTCCTGGTTCCACTATGATTTAGATTATTCGATAGCTTTTTATTATTATTATTTGAAAAGCAAAAAAAAGGGAAAAAAACCTATCCCAATTGTTGGTACATCATGGTGAAGTGGGCTAAAACTAGGAAAGTTGCGTATTCCAACCTGCACCAAGCACCAATAGGGTATGGTTGATGGGTCGTTGGGAGCATTAACTGTTCTTCACCGACAAACATTGAATAGAGTCTCGTAAGTACCCAGAAATGGCCAACACCAATCGCCAAACCATAAATGCTCTTAACCTTTATTTAGTCAATGCTCCTAGTCTCTCTCTTTTTTCAGCTTTCTTCTTCTTCTTCTCTTCTTCTTCTTCTGCTTCTTCTTATCGCTAAGAAAGCAAGAGAATCTTTCCTTCTTTCTCTTCTTCAGGTTTCCGAGCTCGTTATTCGCCTCTTTTTGAGTGATTAGAAGTTGAAGAAGAAATGGTTGGGATCTTTTCGATGGTGACAGGATGGCCAGGACCAAGCGGCTTTGGTTCAGCTTCCACTGCCGAAGAGGTTACTGAAGGAATTGATGGACGCAACCTCACTGCTATAATAACCGGTGATCAGCTCTTCCGTTTCTCTGATTTTTTTTGAGGATCATAGGATCTCTCTAAGTTTCATATTTTTACTTTTCCTAAACTTTTTAGCCTTAGTATCTTAAGATACAAAAAGGGAAAATACTAATATTTTATTAAAATTATTTCATGATATTTCTTCCCAAGCAAAAGTCTTTGTTCTTCTCGAACCTGACTTTTTCCACCTTATTTTCCGTTGTTTATAAGCTTCTGTGAACTGGGTTTGTTGACCTTGTCAGCATTTTTTTTTTTTGCCTCTTAGTTTGTTGTTTGTATTATGTATTGTACATTTTTGCTTGACGTTTTCCTCACAGTATGGGACAAGCTGCATCGTGGCTTCACCTAGTTTCAAACGTGGCCTTTACCAATTACTTGAAGTTAGGACTCATCTCCATATTCTCCATTTTGTTTTCTCTCTTCTTTATTTATTTATTTTTTTACAGTCTTCCGCAGTTAAAAATTATCTTCTCGTAGACTTGTATATTCATTGAAGCTATATCTCATTTGGAAATCAGTCTGATTCAATATTTTAAACTAGTCAATTAATCAGAGAATTCATGAAACCAAAAAGGAAAGCGTTGATTATTGAAGGGTTCTTTTCTTTGTGGGGTAAATGTAGGAGGAGCAAGTGGAATTGGCTTGGAGACTTCAAGAGTATTGGCTCTTCGAGGAGTCCATGTCATCATCGCTGCAAGAAACTTGAAAGCTGCCAATGAAGCAAAAAAACTTATTCTTACAGAGGGTGAAACTGCCCGTGTAGATGTTTTGGAGCTTGATCTTTGCTCTATCAAGTCTATCAGAGTATTTGCTGACAATTTCATTGCTCTTAATCTTCCTCTCAATATCTTAATGTACTCTCTCTCTCTCTTAAAGGCCATGCTCCACCATACTTTTAGATTTTAAGTAACCTATAACAAGATCTACAATGTGTCTCAGAAACAATGCTGGGATCATGTTCTGTCCCTTTCAGCTTTCTCAAGATGGAATAGAGCTGCAGTTTGCAACTAATCATATTGGTAGGTATTACTATAAATCCATTTCAGTAATCCAAGCTTAATCTTCATTGCTTTTCATTTTGATTATATTTTCAATTTCAATCTACTTTTCTAGGGCATTTCCTCTTAGCAAACCTTCTGTTAGACAAAATGAAGAACACGGCTAAAGCTACTTGTATTCAGGGAAGGATTGTTAACTTATCATCTATAGCCCACAACCACAGTTATAAAAATGGGATCCGATTTGATCAGATCAATGAGAGAGATGGGTATGCTAAAGTTTCCAATAATATGTTTTTGTTTTATGATTTTGCTAATATTTGGTTTTCATAATCAGCTAGGGATTGCTCTGTTTTTCTTTCAGTTACAATGACAAAAGAGCATATGGGCAGTCCAAATTAGCAAATATATTACATGCTAATGAACTCAATCGTCGATTGCAGGTGAAACTTCAAGTGATCTTAGTGTTTAAATCGTAGCTCAATTTTCTATAGTTTGAGGAAAAGAATTATGCTATGATCTGAAGTAGTAAAATTTTTTTCTTTAAATTACTTCATTAAACGAATGACCATAAATTTGGCTACAAAGTTGTTGAACATTTGGGCATAAATGATTGTAGGAGGAAGGTGTGAACATCACAGTAAATTCGGTCCACCCAGGATTGATTATGACGCCTCTGTTTAGACACACTGCCGCTCTGATGAGTATGTTTACATTCAACAAGACAAATTCCACTGTCCTGTTTCAGTTCCTTCTTATGCTGTTTTCCACTCTCTTACTCTACCATCTGTTGTTTCGACAGAACTTTTTAAGTTGTTCACTTTCTTCCTTTGGAAGAATGTTCCTCAGGTAACGTCTAATGTAGTACGGTGGCCTGCCTACTTTCCATTCAAATTAATCAGCCAAAATTCTCCTAAGAAAACAGCTTTCTTTTAAGTTTGAAATGAAAAGATTTTCAACTGAGTTCCATCTCTTGGGTTCCTATAATTTTTAGGGGGCAGCTACAACCTGCTACGTCGCCCTGCACCCTCGCCTGAAGGAAGACACCGGGAAATACTTTGTGGATTGCAACGAGATGACACCAAGTTCATATGCTAGAGATGAGGCTTTGGCAAGGCAACTATGGGATTTCAGCAACAAATTGATTAACTCAGTTTCAAAACCTTAATCAAATCAGATGCTCAGCTCTCCATCCAAATGAAAATTACATCATACAAGTTGAAACAGTTGCACTATTCCACAGTTTCTCTCTACATGTTTTGAGTTCCCATTCTAAATTTATTAGTAAAAATGTTAAAAAGGGGTTTCCTCCTTGGCATGGCTAGGATTGATTTTCACCACAGGAAACTTTAAGCATGATTATAGTTTAAATTGCTGTTATTTCCTCTTAAGTGTTAGACAACATAATAGTTTCATGCATGAGTGAATTTTTCATGTTTCGAAGGAATAAAATCCCTCCTATATTCATATTAATATAGTTTCTCATAATTTTTTCCCCATATTTTATCTTTTGTCATCAATTTTTTTTTACACACCACAAGAGTATTTAATCCAATTGGTAAAGCAAAAAGTTCCCTTTTCTTATCAACTTGTGTTCAAAAGCACTTCAAAAATAATATTTTAAATCCATCGTACCAATTTAAAAAAAAAAAAGTACATTCAAAAAAATTAAGGGCAAGCAAAACTTTAAATACTACTAATCATATTATTAAAAAAGATTGACACAACAAATTAAATTAAACGGATGATATAGTTTAATATTTGTAGAAATTACTCCAATTAGTAGTTCATTTAAATTACACTATATTTCTACCATTAAGTAGAAATAAGTGAGGGGAAAAAAACCCTTACGTTAACCTAACTAAGAATTATATAAACTGAAACTTAAATTTCAACCAGAAAAGTAAAGAAAAGTCAATAGACCTCGTCAAATTCCCACAAGCCCATGCCACGGACCACCCAAGCCGACCCAGTAACGATGACTGCTGCGAAAACAGGGGGAACGATCCAGTCAACTTTGGACTTACCGAAGAGGTGAGCTGGCAAGCACAGTTTCTCTCCCGGCACGTCCATCGGAACCCTAACGGACCCTTCTACCCCGCACTCCTTCGAAAACGAAGATGACTGAGATATGGCAGAGACAAAGGCAACTTCAGGTGAAAAAGATGCCACCGCCACCATCGCAGTTAGGAGAACAGTCCAGGTGGCAGCGTAGAGTAGCACGGGCCACCGTAAGGTGAGTCTATGAAGCACGGATGTGAGAAAAGAGAGAACCATTTTTTTGTTTTTGGCCTTTCGAAAGAGATTAAGGAAATGGAAGCTTTTTCATAGGCTGAAAAGGGTTTTTGATAAAGGGATGGCTAAAATAGAGAGAAGGGACCTAATTTCAACTACTTTTTTAGTTGGGATTGGCGGGGTTTAGTTGGGCTGAAACGCGTGGAGAAGATGAAAGAGACTAACTCCGAGAATGTTTTCACTTTTGGGAATGAGCTTTTTGCTTTCAGGTTTTTTTTTTTTTTTTTTTGGGTTATTTGGGCTTTGGATTTGGTTGGAAACAGGAGACCAACTCCATGACCAAGGAAAAGAAACTACACGTCACAGCTAAGCCCCGGTACCAGATTTAACTGTAAAGCAGTTCAGGGATTGAGCCTAGTGCTCTTGGAGTTGGTTTGCTTCGAGTGTGGAAAAACGGCGTTCCAACGCCATAGAAGAACTAAAAAGCCCTTTTCCCCCACGCTATTAAAGGAACTTTTAAGAATGGAAACTAATTGAACAATCCACTAGCATTTAAGGGATTTTCAGAACTATAAAATGATATTGGAAACTAGACTTGAAATTGGATGGATATTACAATAACAAGCAGCTAAATTGTAGGATATCAACTTGTTATATATGAAGTTTTATCACTCCTTAAGAAACATTGATTTAACCATAGCTTGCTGAAATATCAGAGCTAAGAGAATGCTTTCTCTACCTTTAGAGTAAGGAATAGAAATGAAACCAAGGAAACAAAAATTGCAGCAAGCATAATCACCACCATTGTATGCAGCGTGATGGCCGGGCTCAAAAAGAACACAACTGCAATCGCAGAGCTCTGCCACACCTTCAGCTGTGCAAATGCTCCTTCCTGTTCTCAGACGAAATATTCATTTTGATTAGATATTTAAATTCTATAACTACATTTTTGGCCAGGCAAGAAGCTTGACACTCAAGAAAAGTTATCGAGATATTGAAAAGTTTAGACCAAACATATACTTGTTTCATATAAACAGCTATAAGTTCATACCGTGTCATGCTTGAATAGCAAAGCAAGCAAAGCACTGAGCTGAGTATTCAATACCCCATCACCAATGCCCAGTAAAGCTGCCATAAGAAGTGGGTATACTATGCCAAGCACTCCACTAGCAGCACTACATCATGAAATATCTGCAGTTAAGTATAGAAAATGAAAACAGATGGAAGTAATATGGAAAGCTTTATACGACTGCATTGCACCGACCTATATTTTAGCAAAAGCCAGAGGAATATCACTGCCTGAAAAAAAGCTCCCCCGCAAACTATTAAAGTTATTGACTTGAGGTCAGATGTGAGTCGACCAGCCACCAGCGAACACTAACAGAAGTTTTACCAACAAGATGAGACTAGATAATAAATCATCCAATTGAACAGCATGCTTTTTACCAAAGTGTTTTCTACAGGACTCCATAATAATTTTGTGCTTAATGAGTGAATGGATATCAAGATTTTACAGACTTTGTAAGACTAAAGCGAGCACTGCCTTACCGTACTAAGAAAAGTTACATGATTAAGTAAAAGAAATGTTCTCTTAATGGAGGCATATGTATTATTATCTATGAAAAAGAAATACATAGCTATGGTCCTATTGTGAAGGGTGTTGAGAAAAATTATCTTAAGGATTTTGAGAATTTTTTGTATCTTTCAACTAGGTTAAGTGAGAAAGTTGGTTACCAAGAATCTAGCCCATAAAGAGCTAATTTTGCATACTGTTTCTCTTCAAGTAAAACTCATTGCTAATAACTAATAATCATTTCTGAATTTGAAGTACTTACAATTGCATCAAAAGCCCCATAAACTGCCATTGCACCACCAACACCAGCCTCTCCAAGAATTGGGTTTACAACATCCTTGGTGTAATCAGCCCTAAAATTGCAAAGATATCTCTTATTAAGAAGATAGATGAAATTTTTTCTTTAAAAAAAGGCAAAGCTTGACACAAATTGTTTCAGTAATGGCCTCAATAAGTAATACCACACAAAAGCTTGCTGTAATCCTGAATAAGCAATAAGAGGAATGATCAACAGCATCCGTATGTCAAGCAAAGGATTGATAACTAACTTCAACCGAGATACCACAGCAGAACAAAAACTGACAGAAGAATCTGCTGAAACCTTCTCTTCTTTGTCTTCAATTTTACGTAAGAAACACATAAGAATGGTACCTAATGTCATACTACAAAGAAACACAATGAACAGCAAAGTTGTGTTGCTGGTACTTCCTTCCTACAGTGTAAGAATAACTTATCATTAACCAAGGATTGGAAATGCTTGTGTGCATATAATTATGTAAAGAAAGAACCAGTTCCTAAAAGAGAAGTTCGGTAACTATTAAAATAGAGCATATCTGGAAGCATGCATCCAATCCTGGAATGCTTTTTCCACCCCTATATTAAATAGAATACCATCTTCCAGACCACAAAAGGTATTTATAAAATCTTCTGGTGAATAGAAGAGAAGAGGAAAACAATTCTTAGTAGTGTAACCACAGAAGTATCACATACCCCTCCATTTTGCAACACCGCAAGCGTGATAAGATTACCAACGAACTGCAAATTTTAGGAAAGTCAAAATTGGGGTAAAAATTAATATTTACAACCTTGTCACAGCACATTAAAGATATTCAAAGAAATGAGCCACCCTGACTAAAAGAGATAGAAAATAACTACTGTCACAGCAGAGATCAATGGTCACCTGGTGAAGAGCAAACATTGCCCAAAATTCTCCATTGAAGTTGCCAATCACAGTTCCTTCGTGTAAGTTGGTATATTTAGCATAACTGCGTGCAATCGAAGTAAGATATGTCCCCTAATAAACAAAATGGTTTGAAGAATTGAAAATCAATCAATAACCATCATTAAATAAGAAAGATAAATAAACTCAATAAGTTTAAAACACACACATACCTCCCCGACCCAGATTATTGAGGCTGCAAAACCCATGTACAGGGAAACTGGTATCATGGTATACCTGCAACAATAAGATTAATAGTACATAGTATGGAAACATTAGAATACAAACAATGCATAAAGATAAAGCCAGATGTTGATCCACTATTGCATGCATTAAACAAAAAAGATGTTCATTTCCACATTATCGTTCAAACTGACAAACAAATTTCTTTTAGGAACAGTAATTACCATGTAGGCTTTAAATTTGCAGCAATGTACAACCAATAACCAGTAGTCCCCAGAACCACAGCATTCTTCGACCCCAGTACTCGAACCACCAACGATGCAAACAATGAGAAAAACGCAAAAGATACATAAAGTATCCCAAGCGACACCGTTCCCAAGTTTCCTTCCTAAAAACCCAAAAAAGGTTCGAACTTTAAAAGTCTAATCATACAAAATTATAAAATCTCCAAATTTTCCAGTAACTCCCAATTGCAGTCAGTTTTCTACGCAACCAAACAGATGGAAGAAAATTCAATCAAATAAATAAAAATGAAAAGGAATATAAGAAACTCACAGCATTAACAGTAGTCTCCAAATTCTGGGCAGCTCCATAAGCAAGGAAGACCAACAAGAAGGCACAGCTCAAAATATGAACGTCCCTCGTTCGATTTTTGGGAGTTTCACTTCCCAAAGTATCAACAACCAGTGGCGTCTCTTCATCGCGACCATCCATCGATTCAATTGCCATTTGACTTCTAATTTCTTCTCCAGCCGATTTAAAACCCCTAAGAATTCGAGAGAGAATCCAAGAGAATGAGGTCAAAACGGAAAGAGTGCCAGCTTGAAAGCTTGCAGAGATTGATTAAAGAAATGAGTTAGGTGTCAAGGGCCCCCTACGGTTGGTGAAGAAGTGTAGGAAATGAAAGACAAAGTCGGAAGGATTCTGAATACTCTAATGATAATTTTTGGTTCGTATCTTTACGAAAGGAATCAAAAAGTCTTCGAATCAATCGATGATGATGAAACCCGACAGAAATTCGGACGGCGATGGAAGCAGAATCGACAAAAACAATATTTTAAACAAATGCGTCTTCATCATTATTTGGGTTCTTTTGGGTTAAATACAGAAATTCCTTTTTCTTGTACAATTTATTAGTTTAGCAACGGGAGAAATAAAATTCCAGATACTCCAAATTAATACGGTTAGTCAAGTTTTTGGTATTTCATTTCTTCAAATATTTTCGTACTTTAAATTAAGAATTTATAGTTGATTTATTATATTAATAAATAATTATTTTAATTTATATATAATTATTTTAAAAATTAATATTTATTTATTAATAAATTATCATTATATGATTTATTAATAGCATATACTAGTAATGTATCACATATAAACTTTTAAATTAATACCATTAATCAAATTATTTACTTAATATTAATATTTAATAAAATCACGATATGTGATATAAATATCTAGTTATTGATATATCATTTATTGACCATATCAATATTTAAATAATAAATTTCAAGAATATATTTTTTTAATTCAAAATAAAAAAAAAAATAGAAAGAACATGTAAAAAAGAGAAGCAAATATAGCAACACTCTAGTTAGCTCGAGTTTTTATTCGTCTCAAATCTTATAAAATTTATATCCAACTTTGATCTTATATCAAAATATTATTTATTACATTCAACTCAATTTTTATATGTATAAAATTACAATCGATCACATCTAAAATTAATTTAATAATTTTAATGTAGTATAATATTTATAATTTTTTTTAAATATAAATTACACATTAATTATACATAAGTATAATATTTTTATCAAGTTAATATTTTTAATTAAAGTATTAACTAATAATTTTATTAATATAATATATAATTAAATACATGGTTAATTATAAAATTGGTCCTTGAACTATACATTTTTTCTCAAATTGATACTTAAAGAAATAAAACTATCAAATTAATATATGAACTTTCATTTTATCAGCATACTTGTATCTAAGATTGATGCTATTAGTCGATTTTATTGATATAATATGAACAGCTAATAACATGCTAACATATGTCATATGTCAAAATGTCCACTCAACGCCACTTTATTAATGCTACATCAACATAAAAAAAAAAAAAAATTTAATTCTAAAAAAGTTCTAACAAAATTTTAACAAATTTTAAAATTCTATTAAATCTTCTAAAAAATTTTCACAAAAATAAATAATTCTAAATAATTTCAAATAATTCTAAATAATTTTTAAATTTTATTAAAAATTTTTAAATTTCAAAAAAAATTCTCAGAAAAATACTTTTTTTTTTAATTCTAAAGAATTTTTTAAAATTTTTTAAATTTTATTACTAAATTGCTAGGGGACAATTATAGTTGCAAATCAAGTGTTTATTACTAAATTATATTTGTTTATTGAAGAATGGTTGATCTCTTGGGACAAAATTATAGTTATTTGTAGATCAAGTAATTTTAAATAGGGTATAATACAAAAATAATAAAAATAATGTGAAAATAATATGATTTAAATTTCTAACTAAAAATCATATAAGACTTTGGTAAAAAGAAAAACATATAAATTTTGTATTTGATATATGATAATAATAAGATAATTTTCGTGTTTTATATATATTTAACACCAAATAAATATGACAAAGATATACAAATTATCAAATCTAGTTATTTGGTGCCTGATAACTTAAAAAATTACTAACAACCACAAAAATATAGACCAAATTGGATTCATGGTTGTCTTTGGTTTCTGCCTGCATTCCCTCCTGCAAATGAAAATAGTGGTAATAAAAGTGAATATATCAGATGGAAATTTCAGCCACTCTTGCAGAAAATCAGCTTTGGGCTAGTTGAAGTTGTACTTGGAAGACAGGGCTATTTGTTAAAAAGAGTAGTACGTTTCTTAAATTACAGATGGTACAGAGGATAATAAAATCTTACCCCATTTAGGAATGCTGACTTTGATGTGGAGTCTAAGCTACAGGCATTTCATCTTCTGTAATTTCTGTCAAAGTGTGATTAAGTTTACGCTCCATTAGCAAAAGGTAAGAACTTACACTCAGAAATAACGTTGAAAGCCAACTATATATAATCAACAATGAGGCTTCATGCGTTTGCTACCTGTTTGTTAGGACCGGTATCAAGCTTCATCTTGACCAGAAAGATTTCTTTGGCTTTCTGCTGTCCAGGACGTTTCCGAGAATGGCCAATGCATCCTGAAATTTAGAATTCTAAGGAACCCTCTTATCATGGAAACCTCACTGTCTGAGCAGTTTGCTTTCTCCATTACCGTATTAATGAGCTTAATTAAGGTATCTTCCTAAGATAATGCACAAAGTCCTTCAGCCAGCATATAGTATGAGGAGAATTCAGGTAAAAATCCTTTCTCAATCATCTCAACTACAAAATCAACAGCTTGTCAAATTGGTCCTCCATCATTGCCAAGGCCACGAAATACTATCTTATATGTGATGGCATCTGGAGGGTCACCCTTCTCCGACATCTCTCTATAAAGCCTCATGGCTTCATTAGCTCCCTTTCATCTAAATACAGGGTTATAAGCATGTGGGGTCAAAACCATCCCTTTCATCTGAATAGTTCTAAGGAATCTACTTGCAACTTTAACTCTACCTGCCTTACAAAGCCCCTAATTAGGGTTCCATAGGTGACAATATCTGGTTCACGACCGGTGGAAGTCATGGTTTGGACAACATCGGCAGCCCTTTTTATATCCCTAGCCCTGCAAAAGTATCTAAGCAGGAACTGTACGTGAACTTATCAGGTTTCAACCTTCCATTAGCATCTGGTCCATCAAATGAGCAACCTCCTCCACCCTCCTGCTCTTGCATAGACCATCGATTAGGGTGTTACAGGTCACTGAATTTCTTGAAACCCTTTGAATTTCCATCTCATCAAAGATTTCCTCTGCTTCTTGGATCCTCTTGTTTTTGCAGAATCCATCAATCAAAGTATTATAAGTAACAACATTCTGAGCACACCCACTTGACTCCATATCTTTAAACAGGCTTAAAGCTTCTTCTACTTTCCCTCTACAACACAAGCTATCAATCAACATATTGTAGATAAATTCATCTGGTGGCACCCTTTGTTCTTCGTCTCCTCAAAAAGTTCCAGGGAAATACTATGATTTCTTGTGAGGCAAAGACCTTGTCTCAAAGAATTAAATCTGCAAACATCAGGTAAAATTCCCTTACTCATAAGTACATGAGCAAGTTCAGTGGCTTCTTCAACTTGGTTCTCCTTACACAAGGTGCTAATCAAGGTATTATACATAACAGTGTTTGGCGAACAATCCCTTGAAATCATTTGGTTTAAAATTTCCACTGCCTCCTCAATCTCACCAATTTTACACAATACATATATCAAAGAGTTGTAGGTAAATATATCTGGATCAAACCCTTCCAGAAGCATCACATCCATGATCTCCAAAGCATGCATAACATAACCTGCCTTATGCAAAACATTAACCAACGTATTAAACGTGAATTGATCCGGGTAAATTCATTCATCGTTTCTTGTATAAAATCCAAGGCTTCCTCAATCCTACCATCCTTACAAAACCAATGTACCAAAACATTCACAGTCACATAAGTAACCGGACAACCGGCCTCCATCAATTGTTCTATAATCCTCAATGCACCATCCATTTTACTTTCATCAATAAACCCTTAAATCATCGTGGTAAACGTTTTCTCAGCAAGGCTTCAACCATAACTCGGCATTTCTTCCATCATTAAAATGGCAGGCCTAATTTGATGTGCATTACATAAAGCCTTAATCAACATGTTAAAAGTTGAAACATCAGGCCTGATCCCTCTACTAATCATTCCATTATGAGCAGTTTCTACTAACTTTAACTTATTCCCATCAACTAGAACGTTCAAAAAAGAAATTATAAAAATGGGTATTGGGTTTTAAACCAAACTCACTCCCTATCAACTCAACGACGTCAAGAATTTCATCGTACAAACCAAACACAGCATAACTTTCAATAAGAATAAAAAAAGTACCTCTACGAAGTTCACAGCCAGAGGGCTTTACTTGTTGTAAAATATTCTTCATGGAACCAAAAGAGCCGAGTTTTCCAAGCTTGGTAAGGGGTTCTTCGTAGATGGAAAAGTTAGGGTGAAATGGGGCTGCTTTGAAGCCCAATCAAATAAACGAAGAGCAGAGGACTCATCGTTTTGGAGGCGGAGGGTGTCAAGGAGTTGAATTGGAGTGAAAATGTGGGAGAGAGGAAATTGGGTTTGGTTTTATTGAGTGGATGAGAAGGAGATGGAGAAATGTGAAGTGGGTTTTTGGAAAAAAGGAAGAAACTCATAGATGAAGACATTTCTTTTTTTTGTTTGTTATAAGGAAGAGAGAGCTTCAGCTTAGGATTCAGCAAAGCAAGGAGTGTGAAAGACGAGAGATAACTTGGGGGGTCATTTCTTTCTTCTGGTGTGTGTGCGAGTCTGACAAAGCAATCCTTAAACAGGGAGACAGAGAAAACAGCAACGACACCGTTTGGTGATGGCAAACATTTTTATGGTCTGTGGAGTCTGGCCCAAAAGAAAAATGCAAAACCTAAGGTATCTTTTTATGGTCATTGGATCCGGCCCAAAAACAGAACGACTAGCTATCGCCCAAGGCAACAGCATTGACGTGCGTGAAACATGCCCTGCTTGGCCGGTTGGTTCATGCAATTGGCAAATTTTAGCTTTCAACGACCAAGCATTCCTTTCCTCCTTCTGCAGTCCTGTCGCCAGTTGTTTACAGCAAAGATAGGCATGTTGTTGAAGTCTTCATCCCCTAAGCAATCCCGCTAAATGTCAATAGATTAAAATTGGGAAAATCTACTTCTTACAAATAATGAACCGACCCCAAATTTTTATCTCTGTGAAAGCAAATTTGAATAAACACTCTTTTGTCCAGCTTCCCACTTCAGCAGATCTAAATCAATCCAACACATTTTAATCGCCCCAAGAGATGAAAGCTCGTTTTGAACAAGTGTCCAACCGCTACTCATTTCACGCTAAGCACTTCAAAGAATAGATGATGTCAACGCGGACTCGGCTATTAGCTGATGTGGCTAAGGTCTCTTTCCTCCTATCTACTAGTATATTTAGTAAGTTTCTTTTCGTGTTGTTTGACCGAATGCCTTTTCCGACCAAAAAAACATCAATTTTTAAACGTGTAACACATCAAACATTACCATATCACAATTATTAACACGTATATGACAAACATTTATAGTTTCACACTATTCTAAATATCTAACTAGTAGCTTTTTTCATTCCAAAACCATGTTTTCTATCAAAGCATTAGAATAATTTTTTTTTTTTTTTTTCATTGTAGTACAGCAGCATCACCTTGAGGTCTTGAAACGTGAAAACCGGTCCATCCAACAAGCTGTCGCTCCAAATAGATCAACTATACAAATATCAAAAGCAATACATTATCTTGTTAAGCCGGCAAGGACTAAAAGCAAAAGTTTGAACTTAAAACCAAACAAACTACCGACACAAACTATCAAACAAAGACAAGCAAGAGAAATCGTTGAGAACATGATTAGCATCATTACCAACAGCGAGTTGGCATCCAATTCTTTTTCCAACACCAAAAACAGACAAAAATTGTTGGTTACTCATCTTGCACATATGACCTTAGCCTCTTCAGCCGCATCAATTCAGAAATTCAGTCGTCCAACAGACATTAACAAGCAAAAGAAGGATTTAGTTTCATCATGATCCAATAAAAGTTTGATCTAGAAAAATGTTGATCTTGTACAAAATATGTTTGCAAGAACCATAATCGGTTCTTTGAACACATTAATCTAGATTCTTGAGTCATACATAATGGCAAAAAATCAGTGACTCTGAAGCCATGAAAGCATGCCCTTCAACACTCCAAAATAACTTGACGAGGGTCAATATTAAAATAATAATAATAATAATAAAACAAAAGCTTGAATATGAACTAAAGGTGTTGTCTAACCCCTCACAAACAGTTACATATTAGCTTAAAGAGATAAGACTACACAGAGGCACTCAACACATAGGTTCTATAGATAACAAATCACATATACCCGAAAGCACAGGTTTATCTTCCAGATAATAAAAGTCTATGGCAAGACTTGGAAATTGGCATCCTAATTATCCAAGTTCACCATTCCACAACCTATAAACATTTCACTCAAGTAAAGACAACAGGACGAAGCCCCCATTGCAAGACCTAAAAGATCCATATTCAGCTTGCACGGCTTTTGATGACATCGAGACCCATCTCAGTTGGATCTGTTGCTTGCAATTCCACTTGAATTCCATCCAGTTCTCTCTTGAATCTGTCTTTGGAGCTAGCATATATCATCTTACTCCTGACCCGTGATGTATCAGGAGACCTTCACAGGACAACAACATAATAAGTGCAAAAGGCAACAATAAAACAAAGGGCAGTAAAGATGATTCAGACGATCAAGAAACTTGCAGTACCATGCAATGAAAAAAATCCTGCTCTTTTGGACGTTCTCTGCCGTTAGAAAATCAAAATCATAGACGGCATATCGACATTCATCAGCAGGAAGACTTTTAGCAAAATCCTCATAGCTTTCAGTTGGCTCACCAAGCTTCTCCACAATAACTTGCTTCTGCTTCTCCTCAATTTTGAAAACAATGAAGCGATAGGTTCTTTTTGCCTTAAGCTCCAGAAACTTCAACTTGCACTCATCGTGCACAGCCATTCCTGATGCTGCATTGGCCTGAGGATAAGAAAATATCACGTGACAAAACATCAAATATCTGAGGCAATCCCAATATTTAATGACATCAGTAGTATGCAACTGCAACATCAACATTTAACCTAAAAAGAAGTAAAAGAAGAAAAACCAAAATCAAGTGATCATCAACTAGTCCCTTTCTATCACTGTGATGTGGTGCTAACAAAGTGGAGGATAACAAAACAGAACAAAAACCGCACTTTGATACTCTTTACACTAGGTTCTAACTTGATCTATTTCAATTCAGCTGCCACCTATCCTGTGTTGGCAAAACATGGTATGGCAACAACATCGACTTAGGACAACAGCATATCCTACATTGCCGTGAGAACACCATAAATTAAAATAAACAAAACAGCTTTTTGGACTTGGCGATGGAGCCTCAAAGTTTATTCTTTATGACCATATTCTTATGTAATAGTAAAAAAATGCAGACAGAAAGAACGACAAAAAAAAAAAATACAAGGATCCAAATTAAAAGTTCAGACAGATTGGATCAACATATCAATATATTAAACAAGTACAAAATCAATGGCCACGAAAAATTGTTGAAAATCGACTAACCATAAAATAGATATCGAAGCGTATTAGATTAACAGCAAATCCAGTAGAATCGAGCGGCTAAAGATACTAGAATCTAGATCAGTGACAGTTCCATTTCAGCACAAATTTAAGTACATCTAATATCATAGAAATTTAAATCAAATCATCAAAGCAAACTACAGATTTAAGATCCTAAGATCTAGAAACTCAAACAAAAATAAAAAATAAAATCGGTCGACGCAGGAAAATTTTCGACAAATTTTCAAGCATCACAGCTTCAAAAAGAAATCAATCGACCGATCAAACATCATATTTAGCAAAGAAAAATCAACAAAAAGTAACGATCCACTCGGATTGCTAAGAAATTACACAATAAAATCAGAGATATAATTAATTTAAGGGCAAATTATTTATTTAAAACTAGAAAAATAAGCAGCTGATATATTACCATCTTTTTTGGGTTTGTTTGGTAACGAAGCTAGGGATCGGGAACGACGGAGGAAAGGGAGGAGAAAATGTAGAGAAAAAGGAAGCTCCTCCGATGACGAGGTGGAAAAGGGGGAATGGTAAAAGTCCTTTTATTTCGGTGACCCTGCCCAGTTGAGAATTAATACCCTGGTTTTATTGTATGTTAAGTTATCGTACGAAACATTCCTTCGACTAATACGTGCTGCCACGTCATGTGTTTGGTTTATTGAGAGCACGTTTTTGTTTGTTTATATCATTATGATGATTAAGCGCTGCATAAGATGGGCTGTGCTACAGCTTCACAAATTGGCGGCTTGCTTGACTCGGCTGAATTTTGCAATCTTTAACCTTTTTTTTTTGTTAAAAATATATATCAATAATACTATTATTAGCAGTAAATTATGTCTCAAAGGTTATTTTATACGGCATAATAATTATTGAATAAAGATTAAAAATAACATTTAAAATTTATTTTTGAATAAATAACAAAAATACATAAAAATTACATTTGAATCTTTGATTGGATGTGAATTATCTCTCAATCTCAAAAGGATATATTAAGTAGCTCTTTTTATAAAAAAAAAAAAGAATTATAATAAGTTTTTAAGTTAATTTAATTATAAATTTAAGATTTAATCTAATTATTTTTAATCATTTCTTAAAACAATATAATTAATAATTTAAATTTTAATATTTATAATTATTTTATCCTACAGAACTTTTTATTTTAAAGTTATTTATAATTGTAGTCGTCAAGTTTGGCTTTTCTTAGCCTAGCCAGCTCTAAGCTCTAACTGGTATGAGAGTAGGTAATGGAGATATTTGTTGTGTCGTTGAAACTAGTGTTGAACCAATAATGCAACTTTGTGGAAGCCATTAGCGCATGCGGCAATCGTCGCCCACACCTGGGTTGGGTCCACTGCTTCACTCTTCCTCTGCGTCAATCTAACGCTGCCCCCTTTCTCACCATTTTCCCATTTGAACTTTTCATATTTTGCAAGCGCATTCCTCTCCTTTTCACGCCTCCTTTCTTTTCCTTTTCTTTTTTCTTTTTCTTTCAAAATACAAAAATAAGTAAGCTTTTAATTACAATACCTTATTACCAAATTGCAACAAGCTCTCTTCAATTTTACTCCACACTAGCTTATAATCCGTGTTACACTGCAGGAGAATGTAATAAATATATTATCATGTAATACTATATTTTTTTATCATGATGAATCAAAAGTAAATTACCTTGCTATGTAGTCAAACGGCACAATAAGTATAATTAAAATAGTTGAAGCATAAATGATAAATATAGTAACATTATTAAAAAAATATAATTTTAAAGCTCTAATAGTTGCTAAATTGGTAAAAAAATATATCATAGTTTTTCATGAAGATTAAAATGTATTTTGATTTCTACAAATTATAAGCATAGAATTTCAAAAAAAAAAAAAAAAAGCAGCTACCTCCATGCGTTTTACTATGTAATTTGCGTTCAAGATAATTAGCTTGGAAGCATTAGTAAGTACCTACAGGATGATTACAAAGCAATCAACATCGAAAAAAAAAATCTTGTGACAGAAGAATCCACTACTAAATACCCTTTGCAATGTGATGCCAGTGGTAAATGATAATAACTAAATGCCATAGTTAACAGCATGTGAAATGATATGCTCAGAATTTCAAGCACAATTATGTTTATACAGTTATGATAAGAATGCTACTAATCATTGAGTTCTAAAGATGAGATACAAAAATGAAATCCAATCCAAACCATATTTTAAGACGCAATTCTTTAGCAAGGATACCAAAAGATTGATGACATGAACATGAAAAGATAGAAATTTGTATATATACATGCATATGTATATCTCAAGAAGTATATACCACAAGATATACAGGCAGAAATGGTGCCAAATGCTTATTGACACCAATAGGTGCCATGCTAGGTCCACCACCTTTATGTGAAATGCAAAAGGTTTTGTAGAGATTCAAATGGCAAACATCTATTACAGTAAAACCTAAACTTGTCAAGCCAACTTGTAAGAAAAATAAACAATAGTTTTCTTTAGAAAAAATAAGCAAAATAAGTTTAAAAAAAAAGGCTTGTCTTACCGGCATACCTTTGTTGATTCCATAGCACAAACATGTATACATAGAGCTAAGAAAATAGGTATGGAACATAAACAATTTCATAAAAGCAGCAATATAAAATGAAAGTTCAAAGGATTTTACAAATTGCAGACTCTATGCATCAATTCCAAGGCAAGCATGAACTATGGATTCCAATGACTAAAAAACTCAATATGTTTGCCAATAAATGAAAACTCCTATATTTAACCAATTACAAGTGATAAGACACTATCTCTGATGTTATCAACCACTTTCTTTACATATAAAGTCCTCATTTTCAACAGCCTAAAACCAATAATCATGAACTAAAAATAGATAAAATTTAAAAGAAAAACAAAAAAATTCAATTGAAACAAAGAAAAACAAACCAATAGAGCAATAAATGACTTATGTGGTAGAAGAATAACCTAGAAGAGGATTCTTCTTAAAAGGCTAAAAGGAAGACCTACCTAAAAAATCAATAATGCAAAAAACAAAATTCTTGGGACAATTATTCACATACATGATGATGATAACCATAACGATGATGATAACCATAAAAACATAAATCAACCATGGTATGAAAAATAACTTCACCCCATTGTCATGGATTATCTTACATATCTTATCAATCCCGTCTTCATACATTCCATGGGCAGAAGGATTAATGACCTGAAATTAAAATAACAAATTGAATTTGCATTAGCAATTTATTGGCCTTGAAAACAATCTTAATGAATGCAACCATTGATACCATGGGAGTAAAAAAACTAAAATGCATTAAATTATCGATTCGTCAAATATTTCAAATTTTTGACAACTAAAGTATCAATATACAAACATAGAAACAAAATGATGACTAAATAAAAATTGAAACTATAGACTTCTCTCCTCACCACTCCCCAACTTTCTCAATCATTGTATCACAAAATGAAAGATCAAAAACTTTTTCCTTACATACCACTCTTTCTTGACAATTAAACAAATAAATTATTTAAAAAAAAAAACTAATATGTAGGCATACCTTTTTGGTTGACTGCCCATATCTAGAATAATCATAGGTTATAAAAAGCCCACAACTAAATAAAAAGAAAAAAAGGATCATTTAAATAAAATGATTATGCTTTTCAACTTACCCTAATAAGATAACTCAGAGATATAAAACTAATTCACTGAAAAAATCATACATATGACACAAATCAACTACATTGCTGCGTGAGTAAAGCATAGTCAACACCGCTCTATAGTTCCTTTTATACACCTCTAATTTCCTCTCTCGCACCTTTAAAATGTTGACATTCTCTCTTGCCAATACTCTATTCATCGCAAGCTTCCTTGCATCGTCCACCATCATATAAAAACTCCCATAATAAAAAATTAAATAAACAAAAACAAACCTTTTTTGTCTCAAAATATGAACATTTAGTCAAGGGGAAAAGAGAAAAAATTTTGTGGAAAAATAAAAAATATTGATGAGTTTCAACTTGTACCCAAAAAACAAAACCCAAATGCATAAAATACACCAACTATAAATTTAATTATATAAATAAATATGTTTAGCAAGGTTCCCACATTAACTCTTCACTATATACCATCTAAAGATTTTCTAAACTTCTCTAGTTTAATATAAATTAATGAAAACAGAGGTTTCATAATTTTTCTCAAGATTGAGAATTAGTAATACTAGTAATTATTAAGGAGACAAACCTTGCAAATTGACATGAAATCATGATCAGATTCACAGTTTCGAATTCCAATATCAAGTGATTCGTCACCAAACTCTTTTAAAATGGCTAATCTCTTCAACTTCTTTACTAAACCCCAGGTTTCTTTACAAACTTGTTGCCTTATTTGTTTTAGTCACAACAATTTCTAAAACAGAATAAAACCTATAAATAGTATTAATTATAAACAATTAAATAAATAAAAGGAAGCAAAGATATAGTACAAAACTTGTCGCCTTATTTGTTTTAGTTACTACAATTTCTAAAATAGAATGAAACCTATAAATAGTATTAATTATAAATAATTAATTAAATAAAGGGATGCAAAGATATATAACAAAAAATCAAATAAATGGCGTTAATTATAAAAGGGAAACAAAATCAAAATCGTTGTTCATATATCAAAAAGGTATACAAATATAATAATCCAAAGTTTAAAGCAAGTGATTGGAATACCTTAATCTGATAAAAAGTAAAATTGATATGAAAAATCTGTCTATGAAACGCACCAACTCCCTCACCGCCGATTACACCGAGATGTCCGGCGCCATTACTGAAGCTAAGCTGCAGCATTATCAACGCCCCAACCACGACAATGGTTCCAGCCAAGCCACCGTCGGGTCCTGGTCCTGCTAAACCCGTCTCAATCGTCACGAAGCTAGGGAATCTGAGGATTTGCTCAAGGAAATCATTGGTGGGGCCTCGTGGGGATTATTGGCCATGAGAAAATTGAAGTGGCGAGTTATGGGTACCAAATAGCATCTACTTACAAAAAAGAAATAGCGAAAGAGGATTGAACCAAACAAAATAAAAAGAATATTTAAAGAAAAACTTCGATTATTTCTTTAGCTTTCTTTCTATCTTTCTCTCTCAGTGAGATGGGAAAGCTTTTCTTTTTTTCTTTTCCTTCGTGAGAAATAAACAGAGTGGGGAAGATAATTATTTCTTTCCAAATTATCCCTTTAATTTTATTTTAAGACATTGATTAGTTATCTTTATCTATGTAAATGGGGATTAGTTTTATATATTGTATATATATATATGATATGCAAAATATTATATTATATTATATTCACAAATAAAGTTACTAAGACTAGTCTTCTTTGATTACCCTTTTTTTAAGGTTATTTAAGTTATTAATTTTATCTTAAATTTTTTATTTTTTAATATGGTATATAATCATTGGATAAATTTGAAGATAAAATCTACTAATTCAGAAATGTTTCACCTATAATTTTTTATTATAATATTATAATTAACAAATCATAATAAAAAATTATATAAAGATTCTCAACTTTAAAATGTAAATTTTATATAACTTTTTTACGAACCTTACATAATATTAAATTATAATTAATTAATTATATTATAATAATTATAAGTGATATAATTTCACTAATTCATGACAAAATGGATTATTTATAAATGATGTAATGTAATTAAATCAATAATTATTAGTCATATAAAAAATATAAATATTTATAAAAAAAAAGAGATGACATAATCATGACAATTTTAGCAAGCGCAAAATTATTATAACTAATATTCCACGTGCATGATGGACCTTAAATCCGGACTCAAGCTCAAAAAAGAATTCTACAGAATCTACGACCAAAAAAACTCTATTTATTAGAATCATTGTAATTTAAAAAGCATTGAAACATTTTATAATTAATACTTAGACACTTTATTTACCCGAATTTAGTCATTCATTGTGTACAACCAAATTTAGTCACGCATTATATACACAAAAATAATCAAAAGAAATGGCTGGAAAATTAGATGGACAAGTTGGTTCAAAGGAAGCTAAGTTGTATGAGAGCTCTTTTTGATCGGACATCCTTGTACTTTGACCTCCTTCACTCAATGGTAGGATATGAGTATAGTAAAATATTTTTTATCTCTATTTTTGAATTTTTATATTGTATTTATATTTAATAAATATTTTAAATTTATTTTTATTTTCATTAACATGTTTGTTTAATGAATATGGGTAATTCTTATACCCATATCTTTTAAAAAAAAAATTAAAAACTAAGAATTTTATTAGATTTTTTTATTTTGTATATTTAAATAATATTTTATATTATATAATAAAAAATTTATATACTAAATATATAAATATATATATGTAAAGTATAAGTATTGGGTAGGTGTTATATTACCTATTTTTATTTTTATCTCCAATAAAAATTTAAAATTATATCTATTTACATTTTCATATTCATTTCAATTCGAGTAAAGAATTAAATTTTTTACTAAATATAAGTAAAATTGATATATTTATTTTAATTTGATACATGCATTAACTAAAAGGGTAGTCCTTGAAAGTAAAGTAAGCAAAGGAAGGGTTTAAAATTGTCTGAGTATTTTTTATATTATTAGTAAAATTTTACTTTATTTTAAAATGAGAATTATTTATTTATATTAGAGTAATTTTTATATATTTTTTAGATTTTTAGATTAAAATTAAATTTATGATTCATTTAAATTAAAATAATTTTAATTTAAAAGTAAAAAATACAAAAGTAATACTAATATAAATAAATCTTATATTTTAAAAAATATATATTGTTTTCGATTGCTTCAGTGCCAGACACGAATTCCCTTTACCAAAAGTACATGGCACATGAGATGCACATGGCAATTAAATTGTATCAAAGTCAAACGAGGCGTTGGAACTGAAAAATTGATCAGCCAGATGTGTAATACTAAAGTTAAAGTTGATTAATTTAATTTAATTAATTAATTTAATTATTTAAAAAATTAATTAATTCAATTAATTCATTCAATTATTTAAAAAAAATATTACTTAAAATTTTTAAATTTAAATATCAACTTGCATAAAAATTTTAAACTACGATCTTTATATATATAAAAAAATTTATAACACCATGACCAATGATTTTTTTTTTTAAAGTCAAAATGAACAATGCTAAGTTTGAGTTAGCCAACAAACATCGAAATTCCAAAATGTGGTCAAGCTCAAAAAGCAAGATCAAACTTTGGTTATTGAAATTTAATTAAAATCTTCTAACTATTGATTAAGGGTTTTTAATATCATATTTAGCATATTAGAACGCTGGAAAAGGAAAATCCATTGAAAATTAAAACTCAAATAAAGGAGAAAAGGATACCGAAAGATTTATTCATTGCAACCACGTCAAAATGCTGATTTTAACATAAATACACCTAACCGATGAACAAGCTTCTTTATTAATATGTTAAAAACGGATTAACAAAACACAAATTAAAACTACCTCAAAAAATCAAATACTAAGAGAGAAGTAATTTATAACATCAAGTTGTAGCATTTTTTCGTTTCTCGCCATCTTTGGCTACATGTTCGGATGTCTCCACCCTCGCCAAGGCTGCAGCCGGAGGAGTTGGGGCACGAACCGGTTGGGAAGGGGGCGCTTGGTTGGACGGTGCAGGCTTATTATCTGTGGCGTTATCAGAGATGGGAGAAGAGATGTCGTCGAAGGACACAAAAACGCTTTGCGATGCCCTCCTTTGGTGGCGATTAATGGGTCTTTGAGACATGTTTCTTTCGACAGCGATCAAAGCAAAAAGAAATGAAAGATTGTGGAAGTTTTCAATGGGAAGAAGAGAGCGACCCAATAGAGCTTTGATATCTGTTTGTACTATCACTCAAAGGTTAACTACTCGACCCGTCTTATAAAGAAGAGGTGTCAGGAAACGGCCTAGAGAATCTAATAGCATCAATATATGATTACATACCAAAAATATTACTCTATCATCGATAATGATACAAGTATGTTTTTACTAATTTAAGAGTAAATTTTGTGATTATAAAGATGCCATATAAAAGTTTCGTAAATTTTTACAAAATTTTTTTTTGAATGTATGATAAAAAAATATATTTAAAATAACACTCACATTACGATCAAAATTATTCTTATTAGATATTCAAATGAAATGAAATTTAATTTTATAATATTTTTACTTAAAGTTTGATGCCCGTTATCCAAAAAAAATTTTCATCTTTATGCTTTGGATATGCATTTTTCAAATTAAGGGTATTTGGTTTACAAATTACTCAGCGTTTGAGCTTCCCTTTTATCGATTGTGACATGGGACAAATGAGAGAATTGAGTACTAGAAAAAGGGGGGCATAAAGAATATAAACCCTAGGGCCTTAAATTTCCCAAACCTTCTCTCCTTTGTAACCTTTTCTACTAAATAAAATCGTTAAGCATGTAATTTTGTGGGTCGACGTCAAAGGGGGCAGCGTATTCAACTACCTAGTAGCTAGTAAGACAATGGGGCTACATTTAGGATACAAGAAGGAATTTCCTGTGACAAAAAAGAAAGTATCAAACTTGAGATTGATTATGATTAATTGACACGACGACTCTTAAAATATGATATTTTATAAATTTAATATTCAAAATTTAATTTATAATTTTTTTGGTGTCTTTATCATTAAATCTCACCACTGTCAGCAACAAGCATCCAGTAATATAAAAAAAGGAGTTATATGATTTAAGCACTGGATTAAAAAGATCTATGACCACTTTTTTTTTCCCCTCTGAAAAATTAAATTTCTTTTAGCCAATCGAATATATTAGAAACATGGTTATATCAATAATTACATAAGAGGCTGAAATATGCATAAAATTAAACTGTAAGTGGACTCATTACAAATGCTTTATTTAAACTTTTTTCATTTACTTTTAACTCAAAAAATTCAGTTACATTGTTATGTAATTGATGATAAATTATTACAACAAATTATTTTGAATAAGCAAATTATTACTACAAAGACATATGGATTGATTTTTCTTTTTTTTTTTTAGTAAAAAGGTCATATATCATTCAACCTTATACATGATATTTTTTGACATACACCCTTAAATGCTAATAAAATGTGTACATCCTCCAAATAAAAAAACATTTTAATGATTTTAAATTAAGTAAGAAATTTTCATAAACTAAAATTTGATATTTGTGAGAAGTATTTCAAGAGTAAAATTTATAATGCACTAATAAGATATAAGGAGTGACCTATTAAAATAATTTGAAAAAAGTATTAAGTTTAGGTAAAATCTGAAAATGTTTATTAATTATAAAAAATAAAAGCCCAAAAGCAAAATCTGGGTTCATTTTCAACCCACTTTAGCAGAAAAAGGCCCCAAAAAGAATGGATCAAGCTTAATGTCGTGCTGGCCCAGCAATAATAATGAGGATTAAACGTGAAAAAATAAAAAACTTTTTATATTTCAAAGACTTTAACCAATAACAATTGCTTACGTGTAAGGATTAAGGATAAAATCTCAGACACGTGTCTTCTAACTAACCCTTCATCCAATGTTGTCTCAGTTGTACAAGACAGTTCCTACAGTAAATCCACGTGGTGTATTTTCATAGGTTCCTTTATCCCAAGGTCCCACCAGACATCCACTTGTCTTATTGTTCCTTCCAAATATGGCGAGATTTATTTTCTCTCTCATGCTCTCACTTTATCATCTTTCTTTCTTGAAAAGTTGAATTCCAACCGCGAACTAATTATTCTCGCTTCTTGTTTGTTGCCGCCCTCCACGTTCCCTCTGCAATTTCTTTTTATTTATTTATTTATTTTATTTCACATAAAAAATAAAAAACACTTACCCAAATCTTTGGCGCTTATTTCTAAACCATACCTGAATTTCTTTCTTTCTTTTCCTTTTTTTTTAGCTTTCCACGAATCTCAGATCCGCGAGATTTGAAATCTAGCATTTCAACACTCGTGCATGCTTTATTCTTCGATTTACTAGAATTCTATGTTATTTGGATTCGACTTCTGTAGATTTCCGTTGATTCTTGGCTTTGCGTAGGTGGTTTTTTTTTTTTTTTTGGTGAAATTTCCTTTTAGCAAAGTTATATTTCAAATTTAAATAACTGTTAAGCGGTTATTGGGTTTTCTTTTTGAACAGTTTGTTAGTTGAATTGAAATTTTCTTCTGCTTGTTTTGTAGTTAGGTTTTTCTTTTCCAGCATATTGTGAAGAGTGACGGTTTAGCATTGCTTTGGAGGCGCACATTTAAGTTTTCTGTACGAATTTGGATTCAAGTTTCAGTATATAAAGTGAAATTTTAGGTTCGTTTCTTTCTTTGAATTTCCTCTTACGAATGCTGTCATCATCTGAAATTCGGGAAGGAATTGTTTTTGAATGGAGGAAGAAGCAGTTTGTTTAGGAATCTCAACAGAGGAGATTTCGGAGAATGTAAATAGTACAAAGCCTGAATTGAAGCGAGACCGTGAATGTCTTGAACCGGAGCCGGAATCCGAACCGGAGGCATCTCCTAAAAAGAAACAAGCGAAAGAAGTTTCCAATGAGGATATTCGATCAGAGGTTTCGAACCCAATTGTTTCTCCTAAAGAAAACACGTCTAGTTTCCATGACATAAGCAGTAGAAGCGAAGCTGGTTGCGGTGAGGTTACCTCTGTTTGTTCCGGGAATTCGAGTTCCGATGAGACTCTCAGTGATAGTTTTCAAATGGGTGATACATCCGGTGTTGTGTCGAGTTCCCATGTTACGTTGGAAATTCCAAAGCATTTGAGTTCATCTGGGATTAGGAAAATTACGTTTAAGTTTAGCAAAAGGAAGGAGGATTATAATAATGAAACTTCGTATTCAGTTGGTGGGGAATGTACGAATCTGGAAAATATTTATGGGAATGGTTCAGTTGAATGGAGCAGTCGATATTCTTGTGCTCCCAATTTGGAATTGAAAATGTCTAAGAAGGTTGTTCCTAGTAACTACCCAACAAATGTTAAGAAGTTGTTAGGAACTGGCATTCTTGATGGAGCCCGAGTGAAGTATATTTCTATCTCGATGGAGGTAAATTGGTTTTTCTCTATCTAAATTAAGGTTAATTTTGTTTTTGTTAAGCGTTGACTTGTTTATTAAAGTTACTACTTTTTTTTATGGTTGTTAGACAGTACTGGATGGAATTATTCATGCGGGTGGATATTTGTGTGGATGCTCATTTTGTAATTTCTCGAAAGTAAGTCACTCAACAGTTCCAATTATTACTATTAATTTTTCTTTTAGTGCTTAGTTTTGAGGATATATTATTTTAGCTGAATGGTTTGTCTGAGGCGTGAATAGGTGCTGAGTGCCTATGAGTTTGAGCAGCATGCTGGTGCCAAGACTAGGCATCCAAATAATCACATATACTTGGACAATGGTAGGCCAATATACAATATTATTCAAGAACTAAAGGCTGCTCCACTCAGTATTCTGGGTGAAGTGATAAAAGACGTTGCCGGTACATCTATAAATGAGGAGTCCTTCCAGGATTGGAAAGGTAATAATTTCTGTTTTGATTAGGTTTATCTTCGTTGAGTGTAGTCCTATTTCATCCAGTGTCTTGGGTCGTTTTGGGTTTGTGAATAGATTTGTAATTCTTTTTTTAATCTCCAAATACTGCTTATTTGATACACGGGCAAATTCTTTTGAAAGTAAAAGAAACAACAAAAAAATAAAAAAGAGAATTCAATTAGAGGACTGCTGTTTTGCTTGAGGTTGCTTCCCTTACTTGTTAGAGAGTATTTAGGGTCTCTGGCTTCCAAGTCTTGTTATGCAAATAGACCATAAAACCATAGTGAGGAGAAATATCTAGGATCAGGTTGCTACATGTAAGTAGTAGCTTATCCGATACATCCAATGCTTGTGAATATTACATGACAATTTACGACAGAGCAAATAATAGAAATTAACTCTAAATGGGAAAGAAATGAATTGATATAAACTCAATCAGAGGACAGTAATTACATTCGAGGTAACTGCTGTCAAATGTGGTTGGCATGTGTAAAGTATAAGCAAAGAAGTTAAGAGTGGCCCACTCAAGCAACACGTGCAAGAGTAAAAGAAAAAACGCAGATGCTTCTGCCCTCTGATGTGTTGTTGTGCAATAAGAATACTTGATTCTTTTTCTCCTTTTCTGCAATCTCATTGTGTTGGAAGTCAGGATGAATTGTAAGAGCCAGATATCAAATCTACTATTCCGAGTTTATTAGTAGAGATATTGTCAACCTTCTTAGAGAAAAGGGAGACCTGATTTTATACCTTGCCAGTATAGAGCCGCATTTTATTTTTGCTATCATTCAGTTTTTGACAAGCTGTTACGATCTGCAGGTAGTCTTCAGCAAAGTAACAGAAAGTTTGAAGCAGAGAAGAAATATAACATGAAACCTCCTAGTTTGCCTAATTCTCTAAGGTAAAGTGATATCAACTTCTGGTGACTCCTATTTCTATAATCTTGAATGTTTCAACTTTTAAAAAATTTTCTTCTGTGTCCTTATGGGATGGATATGTTTCGTTGAATTTTCTTGGTTTTCAACCTGGATAAGGATTGTGCCCTGTTGGTTTTATCTGGGTGCTACGTGGAATTGAATCTAGCATTTGAATGTCATGTTTGCCTTTTCAATTTAGTTCTCATAGGAGTTGTTGGAGGGAAAATTTTTTTCGACTAATTTACAAGATTGCATGATTATGGCTAATTCCTGAAGAGGGCTATTGGTACATTTTTGTACATTTCTCATAAGATGGCTTGTGTTGTTCTTTTTCTTTTCCACACTTCACTAACGTTCTACCTTTTTTGTAGGCCTAACTCATTCATGCAACGAAAGAGAACTGCAGATGGTGGTATGAAGAAAAGGTATGCTATGGCATATGTTGTGCTCCCTCTCTATGTAAATTTTATATCTGCCTGAATTAAGCTGGAGTTTCTTTAAATTGTTGGCAGGGATAATGATTTACACCGGTTACTTTTTATGCCAAAAGGACTTCCAGATGGAGCTGAATTGGTTTACTTTATCAAAGAACAGGTGCAATATTTTATGGGAAATAATATGCCTGATTAGCAATAATTTATGCCTATTTGTATTACTGACTGAAGGTGTGAAAGTGTGTTTTTCAGAAATTACTTGAAGGCTACAAGCAGGGAAATGGTATAGTCTGCAGTTGTTGCGAGAGAGAGGTGAGTTTCTAATTCCTTATCAATTTGATGCTAGGTCACATTTCTCATCTATGATTTTCTTTAATTTTATTTGTTTTGGTGTGAGCAGCTTAGCCCTTCACAGTTTGAAGCTCATGCTGGAATGGCTGCTAGAAGACAACCGTGAGTGGTCTTTAGAGAATTTGATATTTCGCTAGAATGTTATGAGTCATTCTTTGTTATGTTTCTTTCTTTACACAGGTATCGCCACATCTATACATCTAATGGATTGACACTTCACGATATAGCCTTGTCATTGGCTAATGGGCAACGTGTTACAACTGGTTTCAGTGATGATATGTGTGCAATATGTGGAGATGCAGGAGATCTGCTTCTTTGTCATGAATGCCCTCAGGCTTTTCACCCAGGTATGTAATTTCTTTTATTTTGAGCCTTTTCTTTGTGGTTTATGTTCTTGTTCAGATAGGTACTTGATTCACAGTTGATGTTGTAAACATTTGATATTGAGTGGCCAACATCAAATGATACTTCATGTGACCAGTTTGTTTACCACACATTGCATTTGGGTCAGGATCTGGAGCTCTAATTGGGTTTGTGCTTACATGGCAAATGATTATCATGACAGTCTTTCTACAAATTATTTTCAAATAATAAAATGATTGATGCACGTCACTTAATTTTTTTGTCATTTTACGTTGTAGTAGTAAAAATTCATTTGGTACTGTTATCTTTAGGTTGTGCCTGATTTTCTTTTTGGTGTAAGGTTTCTTTCATCATAATTCTATTGAATGTCTTTGTTGCAGCTTGTTTGAATTTAGAGCACTTTCCTGAAGGTGAGTGGCGTTGTGCAAGTTGTGCAGATGAACATGGTCCTGGTAGAAAAGCTGTTTCTGGAGAAGCTTCAAGTTTGGCAAGACCAATAGTGATACGATTGACAAGAGTTGTTAAAGCACCAGAGTTTGAAATTGGTGGTTGTGTTGTTTGCAGGTTGATACTTTTGTATTTCTTTTTTTCTTTCCAGTTTATGCTGTCTCTGAGAATGCCAATATCTTTGAATATGAGCTTGAATGTGTGACTAATCCCTCCATGGCTTCATCTATACGAGTCAATAATCTCTTGGCAGTTTCTGGTTTGGATTTTTTTTTTTTTGGTTCTGAGTTTTCCTATTTTTTTTCTATTTTCTTTATGGACTTCTTACATGTTTTCTGCTTTTAGTCTTTATCTGCTACTAATATATGTTACTTTTAGTCTTTATGAGATTATTATTTTTTGTCAGGGGCTACGACTTTAGTGGCTCTACATTTGATGATCGAACAGTTATTCTCTGTGACCAAGTATGTGCAGTTTCCTCATCCTATTTCTATTCAAGCAAGCATTTGCTTTGGTATAATATTTTCTTTTCTTTGTCCTTTCTTAGTGTGAGAAGGAGTTCCATGTTGGTTGCCTTCGGGATAGCAGACTATGCGATTTGAAAGTAAGTCTGAAATGTTCTGGCAGATTAATAGTTAACATATACATTCTAGTTGAAGTGTTTACCATTTTGTTTTTCCTCCACACAACAGGAAATTCCCGAAGATAAATGGTTCTGTTGTGATGACTGCAACAAGATTCATGGGGCTCTCCAGAGTTATGTTTGCAATGGGTTACAGATAATTCCTACTTCATTCTCAGATATAATCAGAAGAAAGGATTTAGAAAAAGGAATATTTATTGATGGAGCCATAGATTGTGTTCAATGGCAAATGCTGAGTGGAAAAAGCCGTTATCCTGAACATTTGCCGTTGCTTTCAAGTGCAGCTGCAATATTTCGAGTAAGTTTTTCCTAATGTGAAACATATTAGATTTTAGTGTATTAACCTAGTTACTCAAGACTTTTATATACCTTTTTTGGCACCTGACCTTTTTGTTAGAACATATGTTACTTTTTTACCCAACTTTTTAGTCATGTACTGCGAGTTTGTCGGGACCAATGCTTGTTGACCAAATTTTTTCGAATTGAAAGTTTAAGATAAGCTCTGCGCCATGAATGGTTATGACTTTTGAACAATATAAAAAAAGGAACTGGTTCTTGGTGTGAATACATATGAGCTCACAGACATAGTTCCAGAAAGACTGTTATTTCCATATACTTCCATCCACATTTCAGCTTATAGTTTTAATTAAAGCAGTTGAAATTCTTAATCATACAATCATGATGAGGTTGGGATACAAAGGAAATCGTCAGTCTTACAGAGTAGGACCACTTATATTTTGAATTTTGTGTTCTTATTATGGATGGCTGATGGATAGTATTAAGATCCAGCTTAACAAAAGAAAATTTGTACTTCTCAAATCAAATTGATGAAAACCCATCCATGCAAATTATTAGAATTGCACTTGAGGTGAAGCCTGGATTTCAAAAATGAACTAATTTTGTAATTGAATTTGATTACAGTCAGAAGTATTTGGTTTTTCTATGGGATTTTTCTGAATATACCTATGTATATATACTAGCTGCCTTTAGATTGTTGATTATCCTGCATATATTTTATTATTTCAGTTGTATGTAGCAATTGCCTGTCTGCTCAAGTTATTTGCCCTTCCTGTTTGACAGGAATGTTTTGATCCCATTGTTGCAAAATCTGGTCGTGATTTGATTCCTGTCATGGTCTACGGGTATGTACTCTTTCTTACCCCTGCCTTCTTTCTTTTTTGCTTTTTTTGAAAAAAGAATCTCTTTATGGTCAGAAAAGGTGTTTTCAAGATATGTTTTTATATATATGTGGTTAATGGGACATTTGCTTGATTTATCACAATTTTTGCAGCTTAATGATACTACTAACATTGTTAAGACAAATAATGTACAAGTGTTCTGGTTTGTTCTGATCAGATCTAATGGTTAGTTTTTGAATTTTTTTTTAGGAGAAATATATCTGGACAAGAGTTTGGTGGAATGTATTGTGTGGTTTTGATTGTGAGGTATATCTCTTTCTCTGTGTGTCTGTGTGTGTGTGTGTACTGGGGGCGGGGTTGCAAGGTGTTCTTGTCTTGTTTATTGCTTTATTGCTGTATGAATTTATACAAAGTGCATATGCGCAGGTCTGTTGTTGTATCAGCTGGTCTTCTTAGGATATTTGGTCGGGAGGTTGCCGAGCTCCCTATAGTAGCTACAAGTAGAAAACATCAAGGAAAAGTAAGTGTTTTAATAGATTGGACTAAGAATATGCTGTGTTGTTGCTGTCAACTCTAGTCCATTTCTTTTAGTCTGTTTGAAGTTCAATGCAATGCTGTGTTGACCTTTTTGCAAATTTTTCACCTTAAAATGCTTTAAGATGGACCACTAACACTGTTATACACTCTCATAGTTTGTTGGTTTTGTTCTTAGTCTTCCAATCTGTTCCAAACACAACAACCATACTAATGCTGGGCCAAACTAACTAATAATCTTTGATCTTTGTTATAGGGATATTTCCAGGCATTATTTGCTTGTATTGAGAGGTTACTAAGTTCCCTGAATGTGGAAAACCTGGTGCTTCCGGCAGCTGAGGAGGCTTTGTCAATTTGGACAAAGAAATTTGGCTTTGCAAAGATGAGCGAGCAGCAAGTAAGTGCAGTCTAAATCTTTTACTTAACAAAAAAGGTATTATTTTGATCATCTGTTTCTACCAAATACTAATAATATAAGAGAATTAAGCCATTGTGAACTGTATTTTATGTTCAGTTGTCCCAGTACCAAAAGGAGCTCCAATTGACGATTTTTAAAGGAACGTCGGTGCTGGAGAAAAAGGTGCAGCAGATGTCAGAATAATGCCAATAATTTTCCTGTCAACTTTTCATCAAAATAGCCAGAGTTGGTTCACGAATGCAAAATTTAATTCAATTGGTTCATCTAACTATTTTTAAAAAGTTGCATTCATCAAGTTTAGCGTTTAAATCTTAGTATTTGCAACCTTTAGCTCTATCCTTAGGCTGTTTTTTTTTTTTTTTTTTTAATTGAAAAAATAGCCAGAGTTGGCGTTAACATTTGTTTTAGTTTGTGTTGTTGGTCTTTTCCCCTCTGTACAATTGGTGAGAAAAGTTTCCTTTTGCTTCCAATTTTTTTCTTCCCCGCAGCATTCACCATAAATGTTTTTGTTATCTGTACAAAATCAGAACTAAAAAGTGAAAGGGAGGTAGGACTTGAAAGAAGAGTGACTGAATCAAACATGCATTGCTTGCTGACCTTTTGTTAAGCATGCACACGGCAAGAATTTTTTTTTATGGGTAATCTTTTGGAATATCTAAAAAAAAATCCTTCAAATTGAAATTTTTACATTCTAAAATATATTTTAATATTTTAATAAAGGAATAACTAAAATATTATGTTTATATCAATATTCATAATTTTATTAAATCTACTAAATTAAGTTGGAATGCCTCAAGTAAATTAAGAGTGGAGCTACAAGCTTAAGTTCGTAATGGATCGGTTCGACTTAATTAGGGAAATATGAAATGGTTGGGATGCTGTCACGGGCCGAGAGTTCCCTCCTGGCTATCATACTGTGTTCCGCTAAAACTGAAACTGTTACTGGATTCGGGTCGATACACTGAGCCTGGACCAGTGCGCCAACCGTGACACGGTGACATAGTCACGCAAGCAGATAGCAGACTACATCAAATCGCTTAAAAGGACGTTTAAAAGCGTTTTAGCCGTTTCTTTCAAGTTCCAATAAACCCTAATAGAGTCCCATTGCTTATTTTCCAACCACCGTCTTCTCTACCTCTTTCAATTCCCTTCCGATGGCATTCCTTTCCCGATTCCGCCGCGTCTTCACAGGACCCCATCCTCTGTATTCTCAGTTCGATTCAATTCGTCGGAGTTCGACTCTCACTTCCCCAAAGCTCTTCATAAGCGGTATTTTCTCATTTCCTTTGTTTATTTAGTTTGTCCATAAAATGATTAATTTTAATTGCAAATTTCATGTTTTGATTGGTCAATGAAAAAACAAGAAAATTATATAAAAATGGAAGCCATCTTAAAAAGTGATTTAGTTATCAAAGCTTTAATAAGATGCTAATATAAAGTCGAGGAGCAAAAATTGGAAAATTTTTCCTTTTTGTATTGAAGTAAACATAAAGCATGAATTTATGTTGCTAATCAAGCTTTAAAGGTAAAACCTTTATTATTATTGTTGTAGCTTCCGATTTCTAATCAGAAGGTGAGCTAGTAGGAGAAAATTCTATAACAAAAAAGTTTGATCTTTTGTATAAACCCGGTTGCCTAAATTCTTACTTCAGAGGTAGGTGAACAAAGGATTGAAGTAGCGTCTATGTTGTTGTGTCATTGTGCCTATGGACCTTTCAAACCAAGGTTCCAAATTTTTGGCATCTTCTATGACGGTTTTAGTAGCCCTGAGGAGTATTTGCAATGCAATAGCTGTTTGAGGGTCTTTAGTTAACAAGAGAAGCTAGATTCAATTGAAAAGATTAGTTGGATTGAGGTTTTGTCTAGTGAAACCTAGTACAAAAATATTTGGTCAATTTAAGTTTACTGGCATTATACCTTAAAATTAATTTGGATTGGATTAGTTGAATTAAGGCAGCATGTCATGGAGCGTGATACATAACTTGTGGTACCATGAAGTTCAATGCTATTATCCACTATGATTCATCGGCATTAAAATGACGGTATTTTGGACGAAAGGAAAGGATTTTGTGCATTGCTTTGCTGTCTGCTTAAGAGTTCGATGTTGTTGTCAATTTGCCAACTTGGAAGTATGTACCAAAATCTACATTAACGGTTGTACGATTGTTACTGGCTTAGAGTAGCTTCTTTCATGCGATGAACTATCCTTTCTTTTTGTTGGGTTGTTTTACGGTTACACTTGGATTTCGAAGGAAAAAATTCAAGTATATCATGTTGAACCTAGTCAGGATTTTGGGTTAGATGGAGAATGAATAGCATTTGTAAAAGAGTGGAAGGAAAGCTCTGAGATTGGATTTGTGTCTGGATATGCATGTGGATCAGATGTGTATTCTCTTGTAAGTTGTTGAAAATGAGTGTATTGAGCAGAAAGGTAAAAGTCCTTCTGTCTTCTCGTTTTTACCTTTTCATTTAATCCAAGATCGCATCCAGGTCCAGCCTATCTTATTCTCTGAAAATCTGAGTTGCCCTTTATTTCCTACAGTAGAAGCATAGAACCCAGTATAAATAACTAGAGATGGCATTTATTATACCAAACAAGGACTAAGAGAAAGTTTATGCCAGGTGCCCTAAAGAGTTTCCTCAGGCACTTCGATGTTATTTCTAGAGTTCAAAACCTCTTTGCTATTTACTGAAGTGTTTGGGGGGACTATGGTTGCCATCCGAGACAGTTAAAATTATGATGGGGAGAACATTATGAGTCTGCATTTGGATATTTGTAATTACAGGGATGAACACTAGGTGTACAGTTCAATGGCATACTGACTCACGGATGAATTCTATTAAAGTTGGTATACACAAATTTTTGTTAGAATAAACCTTTTAGTTGTAGTGTTCCTCCGAGAGAAACAAATATGATAACTTGATATTTTTTTTCTTAAATGATTCCTTGTATCATAGTCTGCTGACACATTTTGAATCATAATCTCCCCCTATCCTGGTGTATTGAACAGGTATCTCAAGAGAAACAACAGATGAACAGTTTAAAGAGGCATTTAGCCCGTTTGGCCAGCTTGTTGAAGGTGTAATTTAACACCCCACTGTCCCTTCCCCACATTGTCTCTTTTTCCTTTGGTCTTCAGATTTATGTTTCTTCACTAGCATACTTCTTCATTCTGCTATAATCCTGATATATTGCTTTAAATTATCTTGCAGCCAGAGTCATAAGAGATAGAGCTACTAGAAGGTCAAAAGGTTTTGGTTTTGTTACGTATACATCCATTGAAGAAGCTGAGAAGGCTAGAGAAGAAATGAATGCCAAGTTCTTGCATGGATGGGCTATTTTCGTAGACCCTGCCAAACCAAGGGAATTCAGACCTCCACCGAGATCATAATCTTGAGCCTTCTGAAAATGGTTTCAGAACAAACAAAACTGTTGGATGGTGTGGGTAGTTCAGCTTATAACGAATTTATTTGAAGGCTACAACGTATCATACATTACCTATAGTTTTTGCAGAAGATTGAAGTTGAATCTATGATATATTCATTCAGGATGGGGAAACCTGTGAACCTATGTGTACTAAACTAATCTTATTTTCCTTTGTGGACCTGTTAATTGCATTGTGCTGAAGTTCCAATTAATACTTTCAATCATCAACCTCACAAGAGGTTTAGATCCCTTTGAACTCATTCCCACAAACTTTCTAAGGATAGGATACCTACTCAACATAGTTGCAAGTAAATGTTAGCTCAAGATCTAAAAAGCCATAGTAGGTTCCTTGAAGACCATTAAAGCTACTTTAGACTTTCCAATCTAATGAAGTTGATACATTCTATTGACATTGTATTTCTTAGATTAGCGATGCTACTATTAATTTCCAAGCCTATGCACGAACAACTCTAGCTAAAACTTGTTCTACAGAATAAATTCATTTCATACATTTTTGTGATGATTCGCACGGAACTTAGTTGGAGGAATAAAACCTCTGACAATTTAAATCTTCAATTACCATCATAAATATAATAAATTCACAAGTTGCTTTGCTATTAAGCTGGATACTAATATTAATAGGCCTGCCAACAATCCAATTGTATGATTTATTAATAAAGTTTTTAATTTGTAATTTTAATAATTAAAGATCAATATTTGACATATTCAAAAGAAAAAAAAAAAACTAATAGCCTATAACCTTTATGTTTGAATTTTTTTAAAAATACTTGAATTGAGCTTTTGCCTAAGACCAGATTCGGCTTAGGTAAGAAAACAAATGCAGCTCGGTTGAATCAAATTTGGGATTTATTGCCAGTTAATAAGAATGCGCAATGCTAGGGGCAGTCACCACATCAGTCGCCCTTCGACACTCTGTCCATTATTCAACCACGTCATCCTCACTTTTAAGTTCGCAATAAAAAACTGATAGTAATAAATTTCTTCGATTTTTTACTTTATTTTGCTAATTTCTTGACTTTTTACTTTTCTAAAATCCAAAGTCAAAAGATCACAAAGATCAAATCTTAAAAGCTCTTCAAGCCAGAAAAGAAAGTATTAAAACCCTCCCACAAAGCAAGCATTTTTTTTTAAACTATGTGAAATTTTTTTTTTCTGAAAATTTGAAACCAAATAAGGAGGTATGGAATTGAATCTACTCACGCAGTTGACTCAGTGACTAGCACACAATGGTATAATCATTTCAAGTCGTGGATAGATTTTCTTAAGGAAAGGTGGTTAGATAAGTGTAAGTTTAATGATTAGGCTCTGGAAACTTCCCATGAAGGAGTGCTTTCTTCTTTGCTAAAGAGAATGTCAAACCTGCAAACAAGCCATTCAAGCAAAGAGTCTATTCTGAGCCCTTTTCATGTACAGGGTATTCTCTTGATTAACGCCTTTTCCGCTCTCATTCCGCTTTCCTTTTTGTCTTGACTCTATGCCTTCCAGCTGTCTTGGTGAAGACTGTGGTAGTGGTATCGGTTCTTTGCTGGGTTGATTGAATATCTCTTTCGTTAATTGCTTGTTTGCGGTAGAAAGACCGAGGGCAAGATCTCTTTATATAAGGTCACATCCGATACGTAAACAGAGAGGAAAAAAGTAAGAGATTCAGAGAGAGAGCTTGATAGGACCCAAGAGGAAAACAATGTAACTCGTGGATGGAATTGCCATGCATGTGCTATCAATCCATAGCTAGTGGCGATGGATAGATTTGGTTCCAGAAATGATACTGGAGATATGGGTTTAAATAAATAAGCATTCTCTTGAGTTTTTTCTCTTCTCACTCTTGACAGTGATAATAATTTGAACAAAAATAGAACAAGTAAGAACGATGAAAATGTATGTGGATTTAAAACAAAATAGAAAATTTACAATTTTAAGAAGAAGGCCGTTAGGCCAACAAGTTCAAAATTGGATTTTATTATGAAATTTCGTGATTAAAAAAAAAGAAATGGATATTTTGCCAAACAACTTATCCAAAATTAGAGAAAAAACCCCACCAAAAGAAAAGAGATGAATACACTCTTATACACTTTACCGTGCTTACTACTAAGTAATTCGAAGAAATTTGCTGAAGAAAATAAGTGGGACAAGCAGCCAACTTTTTTTTTTAAAAAGAAAAAGAAAAGTGATTAAGTTTTGCTATAGGCACCAGGTAGCCAGTTCCAATGTGTAAAGTAAGAATGGGATCTTGGTAAAGAAGCTCTAAGAAAGATGTTAAAATTTGGATTCCAACCAAGTTACGTTTTCTCTTTTTTTATGCAATAAGACGTTGTCCTGCATTGAAGAAAAAAAAAAAAGGTAAGAATGACGTGGTGGCATAACTAAGCGGCTGTTGTAGAACGTCCGAAAAAGTGACCGCCCCTAGCATTGCCCCTCGCCAATACTACAGAAGGAACAGCGTGGGTTCCACGCGAATAATTTATCCGTGCCCTCACTCCGCCGCCCCCGCCCCCTCCATCAATCCAACGATAATATATCCCACGTGAACCCTTGCAAAGTCTCTCTTATCTCCATTTTCAAACAAACAAAGAAAAGCCCTGAGCTTCACATTCTCACTTGCAGAAATGTATTCATGTGCTCAGATTTCGTCTCTTTGAAATTCTCTGATATGTTTTCCCCTAAGGTCATCTCCATTTCTCCATTTTTGCTTAAAGTCTCTGTTTGGCTGCCCAGAAACAATATACTTTTTAAGTCTTTGTTTGACTGCCCTGAGAAAGGGAGAGTTACTAGATAATGAGTGATTTAAAAAAAATTTTCTTTTTTGATATTTTTGGCAGATTATAAGCTCTATTTGTTCTTCGAAGGCGAATTTCAAAGTATTTGTTTCTGCATCAAACGTTAATGAGGTGTCAAATTATATACCGGCAGCTCCTATTCTTCTCCCTGAAGGAGTGTGGAAACAGGTCAGTCACTTGATTATTCAATTATCAATTTTCACTAATTTTTCATTTTGAGTTTCAATTTTCAATCAAATTTTGCTAATTTATTGTTTTTGAAATTGCATAGATTCCGGGGGGAGTTACTGCAGCTAAGGGATTTAAAGCTGCTGGCTTATATAGTGGATTACGGGCCAAAGGAGAAAAACCTGATCTTGCGCTTATTAGTTGCGACGTTGATGCCATTGTTGCAGGTAAAGTTTCAGTTGGTGAAATTTTGGACGTTTATACTACATTATAAACATAATTGTTTATATCTTCTTTAATTTTTGTTACTGGTGAGTTTATTAAAATAATGTTGATTAACTGGTTATATAATAACTTATATAGAATTATATTCCCAAGGGCTTTTACTACTAATGTGGTTGCAGCAGCGCCAGTGGTGTACTGCAAAAATTTGTTGAATAGTAGGAAAACGGTATGTCAGATCAGTTATCTGATTCCTCCTTATATAGGAAGGACAATGCTCTTGTAGATTTACTCTTGAACTGAAGAAACAATTTGATTTTGAATTGCCTATTTGAAGATCTTAGCTTTAGTCTTGTAGATATTCTTTTTGGTATGTATGTCAATATATCTGCCGAGTTCAGTTGTATATTTGGTTTGTTTTTCCAAGTTATGTGACTAATGAATAAATCATGCTTGTCAGGCACGTGCTGTGTTAATAAACGCTGGTCAGGCCAATGCAGCAACGGTTTGTCAAATTAGCATTTTTTTTTTCTATATTTCTCTTGTCTTTATCTGGATGCCAAGTGATTATCAAAGAGTGTAGTACATTTAAATGTGCCCCATTTCTTAGTGCAGTAAAACCATGGGGAAAGAATCAGTCTGACTCTTTTCTTATCGTTTGAGCATTTCAGACATGCCAGATTTAATCAGATTTTACATGGCTAATTGACCTTCCAATCATTTTCAGGGTGATGATGGTTACCAGGATGTGATAGAATGTGCAAATGCCCTTGCTATGGTACACAACTCAGAGCATAAGTTTCTTGTTCTCATAGAGATCTTTGTACAGGTTGGATTTGTTTGCGCTTTTTTTTTTTTAATCATTTTCATTGTTGCAGATCCTTCAAATCAGGCCAGATGATGTGTTGATTGAATCCACTGGTGTGATTGGTCAGAGAATAAAGAAGGTGCACAACCCTTTTTCTTTTTTTATCTTGAACATGTACATCCTATCATATGCTTGCTTGATATACTGGTTTATTAATGTGCCGTTCAAGTGAATTGCAGTTATATTCTTTTGACCAGACTGATGTAATATAATCTGTGATGCTCAATCTTAAGTTGATATTCTGTTGATAATGTCATATGCAGGGAGCACTTTTGAGTTCACTCCCAAGGCTAGTTAATTCACTGTCGCCATCTATTCAAGGGTACTTCTTATGCTTCTTCTTCTTCTTCCTCTTCTTTCCTTTCTTTTTTTTTTTGTTTTGGAGGAGACTGTGGTTTATTCACATGCTTCCACAATTATGTAAAGGACTAGACACAGTTAATCTGATCTATGAAGTTATGCTATGATGATATTTTTCCATTGTTGGTAAATAGAAAATAGCACTTGAGGCCTAACACTTATTTGAACAGGAATTAAAAGTATATCTGCAAACAAGACCATAATTGCTCTTTTAAATTTTGCTTAAACACTCTTGGTTGCATTGTCGCTTTCAGTGCAGATTCTGCTGCAGTGGCAATCACCACAACTGACCTTGTTAGCAAGAGTGTGGCTATTGAATATGAGGTAAGTAATAGTTTCAAAGAGATAGCAATTTAATATTCCTCTTTGCTATAATCTATTAATTTTTTCTCGGAAATTAGTATCTTTTCCAATTTTGGTGATAGCATTGTCTTGACACTCTAGAACTTGCAGTCTTCTTAAGAATGAAGTCTTTTATTAATTGTCTCTTACATCCTTGTATAATAGCAATTAATTTCTCAGGATGGAGGGACAAGTTTCTCGGATGATCCACCCTAACATGGCAACCATGCTCGGTGTATGTCTTTCAATTGTTTCTAACTTTTCTATAGCATGTAACTCCAACTCTATTCTCAAGGCAGATAGCTCTCTCAGGTAATAACAACTGATGCCCTAGTTGAAAGTGATATCTGAAGAAAGATGGTAAAGGTTGCCGTAAGGCGCAGTTTCAACCAAATCACTGTATGTAATCCCGTTGCTTTTAATCCTCCTTGTTCCATATTTCAATTAGATTACGTCATAGTTGAACGGAGTCCTTTTCTTCCATGACAAGATCTAATCAGTCTCTACTTTGTCTTTAGCAAGTTCATTTATTGTTTTACTATAGGTTGATGGAGATACCAGTACCAATGATGCTGTCATTGCTTTTGCCAGTGGCTTATCTGGATCAAACTGGATCACTTCTATGAACAGTTACAAGGCTACACTACTTCAAACAGGTCTTGATGCGGTAAGTTTGGCTGCAATTGAGCATTTCCTTCATCTTAAATCAGGTTTCTTAAATGTTCAATAAATAAATAGTATCCTTTCTGCATATCTCGAAATTTATAGTTGATTAGTATATTTTCTTTTCTTTTGCTGGTTATTTTTAGCACAAATACAAACCACGAACTACTAGAGCTTGGTTAAATTTTTTGGGATGATGGCACTTGGTTCAGCCTTTTGATTTAAACCTGTGTTTTGGAATGAATTTGATTGAATTTTTAACATATCTCTTCTCAGGTAATGCAAGGTCTTGCCAAATCAATAGCTTGGGATGGAGAAGGAGCAACTTGTTTAATTGAGGTCTGCATTCTTCGATTCGTTATTTCCTCTCTTTTTTACCCTAGAAAGATCCTTTTTACTGAATGAAACAAGTTGAATCGCATACATCTGCCCACTTAAGAGATCCCTGATATTAAACCACTTTAACTAATAAATTGTTCTGTATTAGGGAGTAATGCATTGAATTTTTAGGCTGCAAAAATCGATTGGATAGTGTTTTTGCTTTTGTTTATTATGGAGGTTCTTGAATACCTTTTGCCATCACTAACCTAGAGATGCAGTTTACTGTTACTGGTACCAAAGGAGAGGCTGAAGCAGGAAAGATTGCACGCTCAGTGGCTGCTTCTTCACTTGTGAAGGCATGAAATTTGAACATATAATCTATCTAACAGTTAATCTTAGCATTGTCTAAATCAAATACTGCTGTCAGGCTGCGGTATATGGGAGAGATCCGTACTGGGGTAGTATAGCTTCTGCCGCTGGCTATGCTGGGATTTCTTTTGACCCAAACAACCTCCAGATACTGCTTGGAGATATTATGCTCATGGATGGGGGGCAGCCACTTAAGTTCGACAGGTAAAGTTTGCTCCTGGTTGCTGTCGATCCTTCCTGATAATGCAAAAAACATAAGATGAACAGATTTTGAGATTAGTTATGAAATCATGTGTATATATGTGTCATGGATCTAAGAAGTAGTCATGAATCCCACATCGAATATAAAAAGAAGGATATAAAAAGATCACTGAGGTATATAAGGGTTCACACCATCTCTTCCTTGTGAGGTGTCTTTTGTAGGATAAAATCGTGAGGCCAAGAGCCAGAGCGGACAATACCTCACAAGGGTGTGAATCGTAGCAGATAGGTTGATCTAGGACGTTGGATGAGTGGATGCTTGAGTCCTGGAGCTGCGCGGGTTCGGAGTTTAAGTCTCGACCCGTGACAAGTGGTATCAGAACCAGTTTTAAACCGTTCTATTTACACCAAACGCTTCGAGGGAGGTAAGCAGGGTGGCCATCGACACGAGTTGAGTAAAGGAGAATGTCACATTGAATATAAAATGAAGGTTATATAAGGGTTCATACCATCTCTTCCTTGTGAGGCGTCTTTTATAGGATAAAATCGTGAGACTAAGGGATTAAAACGGATAATATCTCATAAGAGTGTGAACCGTGACAGATAGGTTGATCTGGGATATCGGATGAGTGGATGCTTAAATTTCAGAGCCGCGCAGATCAAAGCTTAAGTCTCCACCTGTGACATATGCACATAGCTAATGCGTTTTATGCCTCCATTGGTAGTTAAACTGGATTGTATCTATGGTATTATTAAGGAGAAATTATGAGTTCTTTAAAGGGGTTGGGAAGTGAGTTTGTGCATATATTCAAAGCCTGTTATACCTAATCGTAATTGCCCTATATATAATTTCAGGGTGGCTGCCAGCAACTATCTCATCAAGGCTGGTGAGAGACATGAAACAGTGGAAATAAAAATTGCTGTTGGTAAGTTTCCCCAAATTTGACTCAAAAAATGACCTTAAAACTCGTACATTACATTGCCCCAAGATTTTAATGCATGAGATGGACCTGCAACAGGTGATGGACCAGGATATTTTAAAGTTTGGGGATGTGATTTAAGTTACGACTTTGTCAAAATAAACGCAGAATACACAACTTAAAAAGACATCGTTGCATGTACCGTTACAATGTCTTGTTCAGATGCTCTAGATTGTTCCTTGTGTGTAACAATCCTTTCATTTTGCTCCCTGTCTAAGTTCTTCAATCATACAATTTTTACACCAGTCTACAGGCGGGTAACCATTGCATATCAGCAAACTAACAGAACTTTTCAAACCCATACCATTACCGAAAACCATTACATAATTGCACTAAAGTAATTATTCAAATATCCATTGTTGTGAAGGCAGAAAAGACCTTATTTATGTACAAGGATTGGTAATAGCAAGGGCTTTTCTCAATGACGTGAAAAGAGAAATTTACTCATAGGGCCTCCGCCATAGAGTAGTGCATCCTGGTGGGTGACTTTTTTAGAAAACTACTCCCGCAATAGGGGTCTGGACTGCCAACGTTAAAACCATCAAGGTCACCTGAGGCGTTGACTGCTCTATCCTGAACCTCCAGTGGCTTATAACACCTATCAGAACTCCCACTACCTCTGCGAAACAGTTTGTTGTCTTTACCACCAGCACTACCACGTGAGGAGTTGTTGCCCTTCTGCCCTTTCTTTCCATGTTTCTTCTTGTCATTTTTCTTCTTCAACTTCTGCTGCTTTTTGCCTCTAACTGTGTGCAATACTAACGTCGGCGGAGGATCATACACATCGGGGGCCCATGTCACAGTCAGCTTCTTTGGTGGTAATCCCTGTTTCTCACGACTACCTTTAAGGGCAGACACTAGCTTCAAGGAAGTCTGTTAAAGGGTAAATGCAAGTAAGAATGGAGTAAAACAAAAAGGAGCAATGGAGCTAAGGCAACTTAAATACTCAAAGGCCTAACTAAAGATATTCTAAGTAGAAGAAACTAAGAGAAACAAAAGACACTTACAGGCAAAGAAATTGAACGGCAGTAAGGAGACTGCATGGCATCCTCAGAGAATATGCGCCGCAATGCAGTTTCTAATTCATCATCCTCTTCAGGAGGAGACACAGCGGAAGGAAATGATGCACACTTGCCCAAACACTTTTGAGGAGGTTTGCTTTGATGTCCTCGTTGAAGTAACTCTTCCACATCACTCCTATCATCCCCATAAGATTCATTACCGTATTCATTCAAACAAGCATGAAGTATAGACTGCGTTCTGTCACTCAGATCATCTACCTCTCCAGCACCCAAGATGTCCATTTCCAATACCAATGAATACAAAGAGTCCTAGCTTCAAAAACAAAAAAAAACGACAAACCAGCATTGCCATAACTGTAAACTTCTAATCATAAATCTCAACAGATAGATTGATAAATAAAAAGTGGAAAAAATAATCCATCGTTAGTCTTTGAAGAACAGAAACATTATAAACAAATAAACTAGGAACCAAAAAATTGAGACGAAAAGTTTTCTGTGATTCATTCATTGACATAAATGTAGCCAACAAATTCAAAAACCCACCATATATCCATAAAAACATGATATCAGCCAGACCCCGTATCATCACACGTGCGGATAACACGTGCTAAATGAATAAGGATAATATACCTTTCTTAATACAACAGCTGCAATCAATTCAAAGCCTTAAACCTCCGAAAATAGCAACCCCAGTTCACGATCGAAACCAAACCAAACCTCCGATTATCTGAACAAATTAGATTCCTTTGTATCGTACGGTAATAACCTCAGAAACAGACCAGAAGAATGTAGAAGAAGACGGAAAAGGAGAGAAAAGAAAGAGGGAATGAATCACTCAAAAAAATAATTTCGATCGAAATGTTAACTAAGATTACCACGCCGATCACTCTTTTCAAGATGTTTCAAACGATGGGAACATAAACCAGAATGAAAAGGAGTTAAAGAAGGGATCAAAGGAAGCAAAATCGATTCAAAGGGTAACGAAGGCATATTATCTTTCTATGCTCTTCGAAACCCCTAATTTTGTACAACGAAAAAAACCCTATCTTTCTTTTATTTGGGGAGGGCGATCGAGATTGGGTAGGAGGGGGAAGAAGAGAAAGGGATCAGCTGAGGAAAAGAAGGGAAAAATAAGAGATTGTAAGGAAAGAAATCAAGAATCCTGTGTGTAAGTCAATGGATATTGGCGGTTTTTGAGACCGAATCAGATACGTACACGTTTCAATCATGAACTCGTACTTTTTTCTCTGACTCAGAATTTTTTGTTTGCTGTGGTTGTTTTGGTTTGGTCGAGTTTGGGTTTATTGGTTTAGACTTTAGCCCACACACACTCGTTGGTATTTTGATTGTTTAGCATTTAATTAATGAATTTAAAGTATTAAAAACTTATCTGATCTACATTCATTATCTTCTTTTTCGTTCAAATTTGTGTAAATTAGATTCAATAATTTTTTATTTATTTATTTATTTATTATTAAATAAAATAATAAAAATTATTGTATTATAATTTATATAATTTAGAAATAAAAAATATTTTTTAATTTTATTAAAATTTTAAACTATATTATCTTTATGTTTCTTATATTATAATATCATATTATATTTAAAATTATTAAATCTAATTTTTAATAAATAATAGTATTCAATAGAAAAAATGTATTCAATTTTTAATAAATAATAAAAGAAAAGGAAAGGACAAGGCAAAAAATAATGCGGCAGCCCATTGGAGCCGTTTTATTTCACGAGGATCGCCAAACAAGTGGCATCTCCACCGTCGATTAAACAGCCAATCAAGCGGCCTAAAACCTCTCAGTCTGTAAGCCGAGTGTCTCCCATTTTCTCACCAAATCCCATGTAAATCGCACCTCTTTTTCCTACAGAAAAAATCTCACAATTTTTTTCCGTTTATTTCTCGAGGAAAAAGTTACTGCGGAATTCAATTTAGTTTTCCTCTTTTTTTGTTTTTTCTCTCTCGTTTTTTGAATTAATGGATACCGGAACGAAAGTGAAGAAGGGAGCTGGAGGAAGGAAAGGTGGCGGTCCAAAGAAGAAACCTGTCTCTCGCTCTGTGAAAGCTGGGCTACAGTTTCCGGTCGGTCGGATCGGTCGTTACTTGAAGAAAGGCCGTTACTCTCAGCGCGTGGGGACCGGTGCTCCTGTTTACCTCGCTGCTGTTCTTGAGTACCTTGCGGCTGAGGTAATTTCAACTTCCCCATTATTATTTTCCCATCTTTTGTTCAATTTATGAGCTTGACATTTTCAGGTTTTTCGCATGAAATTTTTTTTTTTTTTTGGTTAAATATACTCTTTTATGTTTGAGATTTTTTTTTTCTTCCAGTATATAGGGTTTGGTTGGTTAGTGAGAAATTGAAAAAGAAAAAGTAGGAAAATTAATGGTTGAAGCTAAATTAGTTAATTCCATGTGATTAGCTTGTTCGGAAACTCTTTCTAGCTGGCTTCGGTCGCGAAATGGAGAAACTTTATGCTTCAAATAGTAAAATAGAGCTAAAGGAAAGTGATTAGATCTAGAAAGTACGAATTTGCTTTTGATTCTATGAGAAATGATCTGCATTGGATTTGGGGTTAGCTTTTTGCCGGGGTTTCTTTCGGTTGGTGAATTTACGGTTTTAGATACCCTTTTAAGTATGTTGGTGAACTTGGTTATGTGTTTTTGAAGGTTCTGGAGTTGGCTGGTAATGCTGCAAGAGACAACAAGAAGAATAGGATCATTCCGAGGCATGTTCTTTTGGCTGTGAGGAATGACGAAGAACTTGGGAAGCTTTTGGCTGGTGTGACTATTGCCCACGGTGGTGTTCTACCCAACATTAACCCAGTTCTTCTGCCCAAGAAAAATGAGAAGGCACCCAAGGAGCCAAAGTCACCATCCAAGGCTACCAAGTCTCCAAAGAAGTCACCTAAGAAGGCCTAGTCTAGTCTTTGCTTCTTTCATTTCTCGTGTATGTAGCTTGCTTTATGTACTCTGGTTGCAGAAAAAAGTTGATGTTGATAGGACTTCCTAGTTGTCTGTATTGTGTGGAACAACCTTTGTTTGGAATGAATGAAACGAATTTCGGTTATCCGATTATGTTTGTCTTCTTCCGCTCTGATTAGATAGATGGTTGAATCGGCTACTGTCTATGATGAAAAGCCCTGTAATTTTACCATTTCTTGCTTGCTGATGGTTGAAGGCTATTTTTGCAAAACAGAAAACAACACTAATGGGCAAATAGTTAAATTCTACATCTATCACTGTCGTACAAAAAGGTCTAAAGGAAAAGAAACAACATAAAAGGGAGTTGAGTTCTGAGTTTTCCCTCAACCTTACCACACTTGTACTGTTCAATAATTCTACAAAATTTAGTACCATTAGTTGTGTTATCCTAAGTTATATTAGCGCTCACATTTTGTAGGAGAAGTTAGAGGAAGGAGACGAGTATAAAAGGAAAAACTGACTGAATTTGACATGAGCTTCAAAATCCAGGGAAAGAAATCAAGAAACTGATGCGTTCAATTGAATTTAGTGTTGCATTTCGTTTTCCTTCCATTTCCACATTGAATTTGGCATGTTTGAAACGGTGCAAAATGTAAATTCGCCAATCTTCTTCCTCTTATTTTCTTTTATTACCAAAGAAAGACTCTCTACTAGTCCTAGAGGCAGGGAGGGATGGGAAGAAGAGTAAGTCTTTGGAGTTTTTAGGTAAGTGAATTACAGGCTTACAGCTTCCATGTTGAAACGCCGGAGTGGATTTCTATGGAGGCATTCGATTGGTAGAAAGAAAACGTAAAGATGCACACGTTCGAAGTTCAAACCCAGGAATGTTTCAAATTTGCTTCCCCTTCCAAGTTTTTTCATTTGGTTGGAAAAAAAAACATTTTTTGTTCCTATGGCTTGAAACCTTGATTGTTTGTTCTACAATCTCTCTTTATCATCCCTTCGGAATTGGAAACTGTCACAACCCGTGAGTTCACCGAAACATGAAAATCACAAGTCGGAATAAACACAAAGTCCATCATCCATCCCATTTAACACCACACCCAAATCTGATGATGTAATGGGACTCAACCGCCACCGACCCGACTCATCATCCATCTCAATCAAACTCTTCCATTTCCCTTTTTTTTTTTCTCCCAAATCCAACACCCTCATCAAAAAATACATAAACATATAAAATCATAATTAATAAATCCGAAAACATTGTATCAAAAAAATTTTCCAACAGATTTCCATTTCCAATTTTCTATCCATTACAACTACAACATTAAAGCATCATTTAAAAAAAAAAAACCCTAAAATCCGAAACCGAATATGCTAATTGTATTTTTAGCCAAAAACAAACCAATCTAAGAACTGGTAAACTTGGTAACCGCCTTGGTTCCTTCAGAGACAGCATGTTTCGCCAATTCTCCAGGCAAAACCAATCTCACAGCTGTCTGGATCTCCCTTGATGTAATCGTCGGCTTCTTATTATACCTAGCCAATCTCGAAGACTCCTGAGCCAGCTTCTCAAAGATATCGTTGATGAAACTGTTCATGATCCCCATGGCCTTGCTTGAGATCCCAATATCAGGATGAACCTGTTTCAAGACCTTGAAAATGTAAATCTTGTAAGTCTCCGTGCTCTTCTTGATCTTCTTCTTCTTTTTTTCTACGCCTTCTTTTGAGATCTTTTTCTCCGCCTTTGGCCTTTTCTCTGCCGACGCTGGGGATTTTTCCGCCATTGGCTTTTTCTCGGCGGGCTTCTTCTCAGCCTTCGGTGCCATTGGTTACGAAGATTGGGAAGAAGATAAGAGCTTTAGAAAAGGTAAAGATGAATGAGAGGCACCAGGGCAGACTGAACGGAGGGAGTCGAGATGGGCTTGTTTATATAGAGAGGTGAGGTGGAGTTTGATTGGTTTATTATGGTTCACGGGGATCGATGAGGTGGCGTTCTTTGAGTCGATCGATGTGAGGCGGCGTGCAGGAAGAGACGTAGATAGTTGAGACAGTATTATAATATTACTTAATTAATTGAGGAAATTGGATAACAATTGGGCTTTGTGTTTGGATTATGTTCAAACTCCATGGCCCAACACAAGACAATGAAATTGTGCCAGGAAAGGTTATCGCATGATCACGCATTTTATAACTGAAGGACATTCAACAGGATTCCTGGTATAAACAACATAATTTTACTCGTGGATTCATTTTTTTTTTTTTTTGGAGTTGTCTATTTATAATACTAGGTTTTAAGCTCGTGCTTTGTCATAAAAATAAAATAAAATAAAATATTTATAATTTAATTATAAAAATAAAATAAAATTATGTATTATTTTTCATATATGTTTTGCACCATATAACTTTTCAATAGAAATTACAACCATTAAGTAAATAATTCATTTATCCTCATCAACAGACGCTTTTATTAAAAAGTTTGTAATAAATTCTGGCATTGAAATATTGAAAATTTTTGGCAGCTAAAAATCCAACCTGGCTCTTGAAAAGAATGCTTAATGGCCAGTGGTTTTGTAATTTGTCAAATAAGGAGAAAGAATAAAATAAAGCTATTTTTTGAGAAGTGGATGCACGGTAGCTCCCTCAGCTCATCATTATCTGTATGCTTTGCCGAGCAAATACAATAAACCTGCAACATCTCAATTTAGTAAGCTGTATTATTAATCCAAGGATGGGTAAAGATAAAATTGCTCACAAGTACCTCACAGTCAATGCACCATAACTATTTTATGTATCCAGAAATCATATGAATAAAGAGATATTCATGTTCAGTCACAGTCATACATCTTTAGGACACTAGAAATCAAGCAGAGCAAACATATAGCTGAATGCAGCAAGAAAAATTAATAGATAACTTAGCTAGATTCTCAAAAAATTCATTATTCTGTATATGATTGAATTTGTTCAGTTTCATTCAGTTTGATCCTAGCAAGTACTCTGAATGCAGGTTAAGTGGTTGCAGTTTACATGTAAAGACCAATAAATTGTTAGCAAATTGCTAGCATTAAACTTAATACATCTTCTCCTGACATCACACGTTTCTTTGCTGTCCTCGCAACCAGCACTCCACCTTCACTAGCAGAATTTTCCTGATCATTTACATTTCTAGTTTTCTTGGATTTAAATTTGTAGGTTGGCAATATATTTATAGATTCCATGGTGGCTCCTCTAGTTTGTGAAAAATCCTCTCGAAAACCAAGGACAGAAATTATGCAGGGCAAGCAGCAACAAATTGTTGCACATAGTATGAATGGCATGGCATATGCAATACAGTTAGAAGTAAGGAACATTATAGCATGCTATATAAATATCACGGCACCACTTTTGTTAACACGACCAATTGAGAACTGTGAATTACATAAAAAATACTCAAGTGATAAAAAGTAAAATTACAATCATCCAGATATTATTTGCCTAAGCTGATCACAGGACTTAGAATTATAGAAGCATATACATCAGAGCAAGTCAAAGGAAAAACTAACCAAGTTGCTCAATTGTGAAAAACACATTTTCAGTTCCATCAACTCAACCTAAAAGTGTCAAGTAATTCATCATTGCTTGAGGCAGATACCCCATCTCTGTGAGCTGGAACAAATAATTGTTAAACATGGAGAATTTTAATCCGCAATTTAAAAGATACAATTGTAGAACCAAAGGAAATCAAAGTAATAGCATTTATTTTGCAATATTTGCTGCGAAAAAAAGTAGAATGAAAATAACTACCTACCTGACCAACTGAAGTTGCACCATGATGTTTTGACAGTTTACTTCTATCAGGTGCAAGAATCAAAGAAACATGGGCAAAGAAAAGCATTGGGAATCCAAAAGCCTGTGGAAAAATATTGCTTAAATGCCAAGATATGCTTCCTCATATGGTTAAAAGAAATCAGAAACTCTGAAAGCTACCAAACATTGAAAAAAGAACTTATACTTTGTAAGATTACCTTGTATATTAAGGCTTGCTTTAAAGTATTAGGTAAATGCTCTTCTAAACTGAAATGCTAGTTTTCAGAGAGTGTGAGGATAGAGGACCAAAAAGATCACAAATAAAACTGATATTAGATTTAGTAAAATGGTAAAATAATTAGACTTTTCTAATTACCTTATAACATGTGAAATACCCATGGTAGCATTATCAACTGTAACACAAAAGTTGTAAAGAGGTCGGCCATTACTCCTCATTTTAACAAAATCTCCAAGTGTTTCCATTTCCAGCTAACCTTCATGATGCTATCCAACAAAGTTAGTATCTGTATAACTAAATCAAAGTTAAGTAACCTTCATGACACTATCCAACAACGTTAGTGCCTGTATAACTAAATTAAAGTATTATATAATCTGTTGTAAAAGGACCATTAAAATTTAAGAATAATAGTGCTGTTAAGCCAAAAAAAACCCCAAATTATAGACAGCAAATTGCAGTTTACTGGGCACAAAGCTATTAAGGAAGAAGTAGTGCAAAAAATGGGACTTACTTCACCTCGAATAAGGTCATTAATTTTCAAGCTCCCTTCCTTGGGAACACGAAACCGATATGTATAAGGGAATCCCTTTGCTAGCTCTTCTTGTGCTTCTTCATCTGTTGCAGTGGCCCACTTCTCAGAGTATACAGGAGGAAGTTTCTTATAAATTAAGTGCTAAAAAGGGATCATAGTTCAGAGATACAGAAGCATGCTATTCATAGTTCAATTGGGTCATAGTTTATGTTTTTTGAGACACAAAAATTGGCATATTTGTCTCCACAAAAATAGTTTCCAATCCAATTTCCAGAGGCAATAAGCTGAAACCGAAAAGTAATTCATTTCAAATCTCTTCCCATTCATAATGTTTAGTTGATAGCAATTACCTCATTGGAACAAAAACAACGATAAACATGACCGGATTCTAAAAGCTTCTCAGCTTATTGCTTGTACGTAGAATTCCTTTCGGATTGTCGATAAGGAACATAGTCTCCACCCACACCAAGGCCTACACAGCAACAAACAAAATCTATTAATTTTAAAAGTGACAAACAGAATGGTAAATGTGAAATGGCAGTGATACATTTTAAGCCAATAGGAAGATAATGATGATAAAAGCGGATAAACAATACCTTCATCCCAATCAAGACCGACCCAAGCTGAATCTCGAAGCATAGCCTCCTCTGATTCTCGCGTCGACCTCTCTAAGTCTGTATCCTCGATTCTCAGCACAAATTTTCCTCCCTTTGATCTTAGGAAACACGAAGAGCATAAAAGAATAAATAGTTCACAAACCGTAATGAAATCGTGAATCTCAGTCAAAATAGAGTAATAGATATCGTTAGTCCCCATTATAGCTGTACAATTTAGGAACATCAGAAAGAGATGAGTGACTTCAAAATATCCGCACATTGCCCATGACAAATGACATTGCAAACAAACAATTTTGATGAATTGAAAGCCCCACTTGATCAAAATTTAAAAAAAAAAAATGTAATTTAACTATTTAAGTATCAATTAAAACTAATAAAAGTGAAAAAATAAATAAATGAGATACTATCCGATCTGAAAATTTAAAAAAGGCCTTCATAATTTATTGTAATTTGACCAAATTTTTGTCAAAATTATTGAAAAATATTTTGGGTCTTAACCCACTCTAGGTGCTATAACTTGTTCATTCATTCCAAGTGAAGCTCAATTGCACACATCCCACCTCAGCAAACCCTTATCAACCAATAAACTCTTAATAGGGTTCAACAGGAGCACGTAAGTCGAATCTGGCATAAACTGCATCTATACCGAGCTCCTCTTTAATACGCAGAAGCTGGATTGCAAAAATATAACACCAAGATAATCAGACAAGTTGTTCACAACTAAAAACAACATAGACCTTGTATTATCATTCAAGGAAAGAAAAAAATATGCTTGATTAAAGGTAAGTATGTTAACCTGATTATACTTAACAAGACGCTCAGACCTGCATTAAGCTGTGCTCTTGATTTGACCCTGATTTTCTAAAAAGAAAACATGTTATGAACCAGATATGTTATTGTTGTAGCGAAACCCACTGAAAGATCAGCAATAAATGTATAATCGGTTTCACCACTGCAAGAAAATAATTTAAAACATTTTGTGAGTAAATGGAAATTTGATTTTATAAATCAAATCAATAATTTTAACATTTAAAGGTTGACATTTAAACCTACGGTGGTTGGCCATCACACCTCATCCAGCTTTCTTGGACATTTTGACAGCTTTAATGCTTTCAGTAACAAATCCAATTTGATTAATCTGTTGTTACCCATTCATCAAGAAAGAATCTGCATTACTATCCAAGGCATTGCCAGAGAACATAAATTACATTTTAAAGAAAAGAACCCAGTAATACCTTGAGAAGAATGGCATTGAAAGTTTTTATTTGATAACCTTCTCAACCCTTTGCATAAATTAAAAAGGAATATAAGTGATGTCATGTTCTTTCAGAACGAATACTTACGTATACATGCACTATTTCCTATAGGAGAACCCACATAGAAATGCCAATTCTACTTTTGGATTGGTGACCAAGAGATCATCTCCCACAATCTGAACTTTTTCTCCAGTTTCATTAGTTAGTTTGGAGTAGTGCTCCCAATCATCTTGGTCACATGGATCTTCAATTGACACAATAGGATATTCACAGACAAATGACTAGTATAAATCATTGAGATTATATTTTAACACAAATTTTGTGCAAATATAATTATATTTTATGTTTTTTCTATTATCAATTATATACTCTCTCTGTTCCATTTTTTTGTACTTTTTTTTTCACATATCCTAAAATTATGTCATTTTTTAATATTTAAAATTTTTATTTTTTATATTTTAAAATTTTTTATTTTTTGATATTAAAAATTATAATTTTATAAAAAAATTCAAAATTTAATATTAATTATATTAAAATTAAAATTAAAATTTTTAAAATTTCAAAAAAATCAAGACAGTTAAACATTTTAGAACGGGGGAGTATTTGATTTTTTACGTACTTTTAATATTTAAAACGGTGACAATGCTAGTTGACCTGTATTTTTCCCCGAGAACGGGTCAACTCGGGACACGTGTATGTTGCTAATGGCTATGTATTTTGTCTTGAAAATGAAATTGCTTTCATAAGTTATAAAACAATTGGATTACTAGTCAACGCCAAAGATTATTTGTTTCTACGCAGTTTTACATTTTTATTATATTATAAAAGAGGATCGAATTAATATCTAAATAAATTTAATATTCTTTATACAAAAATGCTATAGTTTGGGTTAATGAAAAAAGTTATTAATATATCATCAACTCAATTAGTTTAAATTTAGAAATTAAATATTTGGATTCAAAGCATACTAATAAATCCATAGAGCTCTGACAAAATCCTAAGTTAAATTGGACTACAGTATTGAATTCGTTATATTTTAGTAGTAGTATTTTATTTTAACACTATTGCTTGTGTCGAAGAAACTCTATTATTTCATGGCCACGGGAAAACCGAAAAGATAATAATTCATTAATAACTACATAATTTTTTTTAGAATTTTTATGTGATATGTTATTGGCATATAAATTTTATATATTATTAATAAATTAGATAATTTTATTTATAAATAAATATATAAAAATATAAATTTATTAATAATATATAAAATTTATATCTAGATAATACATTAAATATATATATTTTTTAATAAATGATTCCTTCAATTCATATCCCTTCTCCTAATCTTGGGAATTGAATTGGGTTTTACTTATACTTTGGGCTATGGCTTTAGCTATGAACTCCAATAGAATTATGTTGCCCAAGAGTTCAGCCTGCCTTTCACCTAGCAAATTCGATGTTCCAACTGCTTACAGAAGTGTCTGGTCTGATCAATTGTCATGGTAGGTAGGCCATTATACCAGTGGCATTTGAAACAAAAACATTATGGTTTGCATTTTTGCCTATTGACAACCATATAGCAATTAAAAAATAAAGAGCCTCGACTGAACACAATGAATTGAAAGGGTTGGAGAACTAGAAAGATATACAACTTGACAGGGCAAGCAAATCTGTGTAAGCAATATAACAATACAATAATTCACAAAACCGAAAGGTTACATCAAACAGTAAATAAGTGACAGGCATTAAACAACCAAAATAATTAATAGGCAGCCCAATGAAAAAATGTATAGTCATCATCGTTACATTGAGAATTATCCAAAATTATCGCCATCGTCATTGCATAATCGTCATAAACAACAACCATTTCAACTAGAAAATGTACTGTAAGGGATGAGCACACATTTACTTTGTCGCAAAACCAGTCTATGCGGGGTGCAGTCTGCAAGGAGATGTTGAATTTCTTGCAACGATGAAAAGGACTTTAATATGTAGCAGCAATATATTCATATTCATATATATATATATAGATGAGACTCGATGAACAACTACCGCCTTAAGCTCTCCACTATGTAGTCCGCGTAGAGATTCCTTCACAACAAAAAGTTGAAATAAAATTAGAACTCTACTTTGAAACTGTTAAGAGAGTATAAATGCACATGGACACGAGCAAAAGTTTAAAAAGAAGAATCACAAGCTGCAAAGCAAACCCAACTTAGGTCTTTAAACTTCCTTGCATTTGAATTCAGACCTGGAAAGGATCTGCATCTTTGTTCAGAAATGAGGGAAAATGCATTTACAGTCGCATGATCATGTTGACATAATGACTGTCGAATAATGTGGGGTGATGCATCGAAAATTTATGCCAACCATAAGTAGCATGAGAATAGAAAGTCTGATATAAGTAGCATTAGCATGTCCTTCTCTTGCACGAGGCAAGGTGATTAGAGACAGGAAACTTTCACTTACATGGAATGCTGGATTGCCTCATAAGCAGTAGTGGCTGGCAGAAAGTCATTAACAGCAACTTCCTTGTTCTCATTCTTCTTGTCTGAAGTATTTATTAAGGCAAAAGAAAGTTAAAAATGCTTCAAATAAAGGAGCAGTTTAAAATAGATATCCTTCCTTGTAGAAGTTACATACAGAACTTGCTTTGCGACTAAGAATAATTAAAACTTACAGTCTTCAAAGAAGCGGCGAATCTCAGCCAAACGGTGAGGCGGAAGTTCCTTGATATCATTGTAGTCGCGATACTCAGGATCATCAGCACAGACAGCAATAATCTTGTCATCTTTCTCACCCTACATTCATAATTGCACATGTTTTCTCATTTGCTTTTAAACATATATCCAAGAGCCAAGAGTATTTTAATCAGTGGTTGATATATACCTGATCAATCATAGGCATCAGACCTATAGCTTTAGCCCGAAGAAAGCATCCCGGAAGAACTGGTTCCTGCATGTGTTTCAATAGTAACATAAGTATTGCCTTAAAAATTTTCGACCCCTTGAATATACAAAAAACATTTTAAATAAAAATTACAAGCACAGGTTTTTGCATTGGCACGTGTATGGCCAAAATAATTATTTTAGCCAATGATCAGTGTGGACCATGTCAATCACAAAGTGCATTGGACAAACCAAAGCGAACAAGTAAGAGTTTCAGAGCATGAAACGTATTACGCAACCGTGCATTAAACTATGATATTTTCAATATATGTGGATCAAACAGCACACCTGCATGATAATCAGGACATCCATGGGATCATTGTCTTCACAAAGTGTACGAGGGATGAAACCATAGTTGTGAGGATACACAACTGATGAGTAAAGCACACGATCAACCTGCAAATTTATGCACCTTTCATCAGCAACCAACTTTATCGATAAGATGTGGCAAGTACATTTTTGTAGTAACTAGTAGTTACCTTGATAAGACCAGTTTTCTTGTCAAGTTCATATTTCACCTTGCTTCCTTTCGAAATTTCAATCACCTGCACAAAATAACAACATCTTCAATATAACAATAATCAAGTAAGAACTCTTAAACGCTTTGTTATTTGTGAAGGCTTTACTATCTTTCAATTTTAAAGGAATTGCATACATGCTAACACTTCATAAGTTTTCTCAAATAAATCTCAATCATGATAACTGAGAAATATGCCCATTTTAAAATATCTAGAAAGTCAAATGTTTATAAGAAAGGTGTTATACATATTCTAGGAATTTATGAAGCCTTTTATATTCAAAATGCAAATGCTAACAGTTAGGGAGAAGATAAAGTCTGGCATACTTACGCAGTTGAAAACAATCGGAGCACCAGGTCCTATAGTAGACATTGTAAATGGTAGGAAAAGTAGTACATTATTAGATTTACAACAAACAAATAGGAATAACCCAAAGAGAACTTATACATGGCTTAAGTTGGAGTTGCTTGCCTATCTCAAGATCATGCCATGGGTGAGCAGCAACAGACCTCCTGGTCAATGATGAAAGGATCCTTTCATTCAAAGGAGGATGTGAAGAGTGGTGAGAGTCAGAGGACTTGGTTGGAGGCTCAATTGCTGGAACCATCACTGTGAATTACAAACAATGAATCAATAACTAACTTAACAACCGCACTACAAATTCCATAAAAAAATTTCAAGTTAGAAATATGCAACGAGAATAAACAATGCTCACAAGATTTTTATTGATCTGTTTGGATTTTTTTAATTTTCATTTCATTTTATCATCATATTGCTTAACCAATCAAATGCTTGTAAAACTAAGCAAACAAAACGAAATTGTCGCCACACATCGGCTAAAAGTCGTTTCACTTTAGAAAGATTTGCATTCTACATGGAGCTTTTCAGCTTGGAAAGCTGAAGGTTTCCCTCAGCAGCAGTGTATCATCAAATATAACAATAAACTAACAGTTGAAGGCAAACTCCGAAGAATCTAAAAGAAAATTGGAAAAAAAAAAAAAAGAAAAAGAACTCTTCGTATTAAAAATTCTCTTAGTCTCTCACAGCGATTTCACAGTGATTTCCTAGCAGAGTCTCTTACACGGCGATTTTACATTCGATTTAAAAAAAAACAATTTGGAAACCAACTAAATCCATGACTATAGCTTTGCAAGCACAGATCTAGAAACTACAAAAAGTGAAATCAACACAATATGCTAGAAGGAGAAAGTGCAGAATCAAAACCAACCAAAAATAGTAAAAAGTGATTTCAGCTCAAGATCAACGCCAGATGATTTTTCACCAACAAAACAAGTGAAAAAAAAAAAAAAACTAATCTCCGGCAAATTTAAAGAAAAAAAAAAAGGAAAATGTGTATCTCGGAATCTATGCTACAACCTGCATACAAGTTATAACTTACAACAAGCAGAAGCAATCAGATTCAAAAACAGAGCAGAAATGTGAAGAAACGGAACATAAAAGCCAAAAAGAAACGAAAATCGACGATCGAACCGTTGAAAAGAGGATTTGAAACGTACCTTCAATGGTTTCCATTCTTACAAAATGAAGCTTTCAAGAAGCTAAAGGAAAAAAAAGGCACAGATCTCAAAAACAAAGAGAAAAAAAGAGAGAGAAGAAAGAATAAATGCCTATAGGGACCCTTAAGTCAAGAGGGAGCACAGAAAGATGTACAAGTTCCCGCTCTCTTTCCTCGTTACCATTTAAAGGCAAACCCCGACACCAAAGAAAGAAAAATAAATATGGAATCGTGGACATTCTGCGGAAGCGAAGAAGTCGTGGTTCCCAGTTGTAATATCCAAGAATACGCGTCGTCTGGTGATTGGTGGTTAGGGTGGATTAGGAGCATGGGACCCACTGAGGGACAGGGACGGAGTTTCTACGATCATGCGGTGCTTTTTGGGATTTTGGCCTCGCTTTGATGGACGGTGAGAAGTTTTGATTCTCCAGAATGGTTGGGTAGTGGCCTAGTGGGTACCTTGTATAAGATAAAATATTAGCTATAAATATAGGGTGTGGTAGGCACCTATCCTCATTTAAAAAAAAAGTTTTAGCTTGAAATTAAGATTTTTAAGTTTTTTTTGGAGTTCCCCCATGTAATATATCAGGTGAAGGGAAGACGATATTTTTACTGTAACCACATTTTTATTTTTAAAGTTATAAAAAAAATAGATTGTAATTTATTTCTCCAAAAAAGTTGTGCTTATTATTAATAAAATGTAAATATAAGACTTTCCATAACGTAAAAATTATTATTTCCAAGAATATTACTCATTACTGTTGGTTTCCATACGAAGTAAATTTTGTTGTTTCATTTTGTTTTATAGTTAAGATGATGTCGAATTTAGAATTTAATTTAATTAATTTATATAAATATTTAAAAATAAATTTAATATTTATAATTTATTCTTTTATCTTCAAACAATAATTTTTTTTATATAAAAAAATATAGTTGATATCTTTAAATTAATATAATTGAATTAAGATTTTATAAGAGATGTTGTGAAAGAAAGCAAATTCAGAACAAGGAGAGGACTCACCATTGATCTAAAGCCCTGGGTTGAATGAACGCCATCATGGAATACCATCTCAGGCTGTACTTGGTTTCAAACGTATTTCTAGTGGGACTGCGTTTTTTGTGAAAAACTGTGCGCACTGAAGATCCGTTAAGTGCTAAAATAAGTTTTTTTTTCAACTAGAAATGTTAGCTCCAGCCAGTAAACGCCCAATTGATTGTTCCTCTTTTTACATTTTTATCCTTTCAATGTACTTATATTCTTCCTTTTTTTTCATTTTAATTTTTATTTAAAAATATAAAATAATTAATAATTTAATATAATAAAAATACTATTTGATATGTTATTGTTATTTTATTATTTTTATTTATTTTATTAATAAAATTATTATTTACCATAAAAATATTTTTATTTTTTTATTATTTATTATTTTTTATAAGTTAAATAATTTAAAATTTTTATTATATATAAATTTTAAACTAATATTTAAATTTAAATCAAAATAATTAAAATTAAATTTATTATTTTAATTTAATCCAATGATAAAGAAAATGTAAAACTTATGGTGCAAGTAGATCCTTGTTAAAAAGAAAATAAAATTCAAAGAAAAATGAATATTAATGAAATATAACCAGAATCAATTTAAAAGTATTTATTTGAAATAAAATTATCTTTTTTAATATAATTTCTTTATACTATAAAGTTAGGCAAACATAATTAAAATAAAATATCCACTATAGCTTGCAATAACATAATTCTTTATAAAATCTTTCATTTTGTCTTTTATCGTATTCTTTGCAAAAGAAAAAAAGATATAGCTATTGCATACAATTTGAAACAAATGCAAGAGCTGAGAATGTCGGTGTAAAAGTTATCCGTACGATATTAAATTATTTTTGCGAGGTGCAAAAGGTGACTTAAAAGCAAGCCTCCATGAATGAAGACCGTGAAGCAATTTTCAATCTTATCCTGCTAATATGTGTTGGAGCATTGTTGGAAAGCCTATCCATTCCTCAAAGGCTGGCTAAACTACCAGTCGTCTCATATTCCATACACCAATTCAAACAGAAGCAGAGCCAGCCATACATGTGACCAGGTCAATTACTGGAGTCTTTCATTCTTCACAAGCCCAACCACTACTTTGGCAATTGACAGTAATTTCTTCAATTCATAATTAACGGAGTAACTAAAAAAATCATTTTATTCTACTTACCCTCCATTTGTCATATGTTTGAATGTTTCCAATCGGACCAAGTTCTTATCTCCAAATTAGGTTAATGTCTGAGTTGTTTTTATTATTATTATTTATTTATTTTAAGTGGGTGGGGTTAGCCGTTTAGATTTGGACTTGTACTTAACATGACTATTTTAATAATTTTTTCCTTCAATTGAAATAAATTAAACTATTAAACACTTCTAACTAGTTTTTTTCTGGATTATTTTAGCGAATATTGTTAAAGAAATAATTTCAATAGAAAAATGGGTTTAACATTCATAAATCACTACAAGAGAATAAGTTTTTAGTGAGTTTTTTTATTTTCATATTTAGTGATGTGTATAAATATTATTAAACAATTAACGATGTTTGTCAAAAATATCATTAAGAGCATCGATTGTACTTGCATAAAAAAAAAACAATATTTCAAGAAAAAAATCATTAATTTAATGATTTTTATGTTTAAAAATATCTTTAAATTTAACGATATTTATGCGTAATTTTTTAATTAACGACGTTTGTATCAAAAAAACATAATTAAATTTAATAATATTTTTTGACACAAAAGCTGTTAATTTTACAATTTAACAATATTTATTTTAAATTTAACGATATTTATGCATAATTTTTTAATTAGCAACGTTTGTGTCAAAAAAACAATAATTAAATTTAATAATATTTTTTGACACAAAAGTTGCTAATTTTACAATTTAACAATATTTGTGTACAAAAACGCTATTAAATTTATAAGTATTTTTTTATACAAACTCTGTTAATTAAAAAATTTAATGACGTTTTCACTACAAATACTACTAAATTAAGAAAGTTATTTTTTTAATTTCTTTCAATATTTATTATTATAATTAAATAAAAAATTATTAAAAAAAATAAAAATGAATTTAAATTTATAAACTATATATTATAAATATTTAAATATCTAACTACAAACGCCAATTAAAAAAACTTAAAGAATAAAAAATACTTGGCATGATAAAGCAAAAACATTATTATTAAATAAACAAACATACATTGTACAAGCTTTTCACATGAATAAATGTATAGAAATGAACCAAAATAAATAAATTTATCATTGACGAGTTACATGTAATCTTACAAGCCACGAGAGGCAGCATACCACAAAAGAAATAGAGCTTCGTAATACATCTTTGAGTTTTTAAGAAGAACAACAACCACTTTTCTGACCAACAAGTTATCTTGGATTTGTATTGTCAAAGGCTTTGCTTTGTTCATGGCCGGTTGGATTGCCATTTTGCAATAAGAGGCAATTTTGAGGAGTGAGCAAAACACGTTCAATAGGAACTAAGATTTTTGAGATAAATATCATAGCAAATGGTTTGTTGATCCATAAGTTTTTTCTTATAGATTGAATAATAAACCTTGATAGCCAGAAAATTAGTGCAAAAGATTCCACAAACGTATGAAAAAACATTACTTAAGCAATTTTCTAATTCTTCCAAGCTTTTATGCCTATCAAAGATTTTATGCAATTTTATACTTTACAAGCCTAATGAAATTGAATTTCCCATCTAAAAAAAAAAAACAAACAAACAAACAAAATCATAGAATACCAAATAGCTTAATGAAGAGGATATACACAAATCATCATAAGCATACCCATTAAATCGCAAATTAACTGCTTACGCCAAAAAAAACATATTATTTAAACCTTAAAATAGAAAACAATCATTATATAAACATAACCATGGCTTTAATTTTATGGGCTGGGAACTCCGTCCCTGGTATGAACCCTTACATTTTTGAACCCTCTCTTGTAAATATTGGACATACTCTATCACCTGTAAAAGAACATTGTACCAATCAAGAAAATTTTAAAGCAGAATTTTCTTAAAAAATAAATAGCTAAATAAATAATATGGTGTGACATTTTTCATTTCCAGAATCAGGACATACCTCTAGTAGGAATGAAGCCATATGTATCTCTCTTTTGATCAGCGTTTGGTATTAAATCTCTCAATATTTGAAATCTAAAAGTATCAGAAAACTAGTTAATATTACCATTTGCAAAATTAAGTAAGCATCATCAATTTACAATTGCTATTTGATAATTTTATTTTTTATAGAATTATCATAGGTCCACTTGAGATGTCATCTCATAGGCAACAAAAGAAGGGAAACACAGCTAGCATAGTAGCTCAAAGTCAATACCTGCTATAACTAAAAAACACAGCTGGGATCAAACATTAAAAAAGCTTTCAGTCAGCTATAAAGGAGCACCTCTTCATATATGCCTCGGCATTTTTTTTTTTTGGCAGGAACTCCAAATGCTGGCAGCTCTATAGCTGTTATGTTCTTGGCCATTCAATCTTTGTTTTTTGTTTTTCCTTTTGTTTTCAATTTATGTTAAGTTTCTTTTGCATTCCTTTACTTGTTATTTAGCTCTACTTTAGTTCTTTTAAACAAACATTTTCCATTTAAACTTTCAATTTCAATTTATTCAACACAGTTTTTGAGTTTCCAGGTTTGATGTTAGCTATTGTTTAATTAATTTTCAAGTTGATTTCAATTTCATCAAATCATGAGTTTTTTATATGTTGTTCTTCTACTTGTTAGCTTGATTTACAGTGCTTCCTCTTGATCAAATAGTTCTAATTGAGCTAGCAAATTTAATTTTTTTAAAAACCTATTTCCAGAATGTTATTCTGTTTTCAGATTTTATTTTGTTTAAGTTTTTGTTACTTTTCAATTCAATTTTGCATCAAGCTTTTTGGTACTTGTTCATCTATGAGTTATCTTAGCACTTATAAAATTTGAGAGCAAAAATTCATATATTTTGAGCTTGATCTAAGATTTAGTAGGAGCTGTTCTATTTTTCAAGCTGAAATTCCAGATTTTATTTTGCTACGGTTTTGGTAAATTTCAAGTACTAAATGATGTCCAATGCTTTTGAAAATTTATGTGCATGTTCACATATTAGTTAGTTACTACCACAAAAAATTTGGAGATCAAATACTATCAAATAAGAGTGCAAACCGAATTTTAATCAGATATTGGTCAGAACCTGTTTCCAGATTTTAATATTTGCTCTAGGTTGTTGTTTCTTTGATTTTTCATAGCTGTTTGGGGGTTGATAAGGATGGCACAAGGTTGCTATTAGGTTTAGCATTCACCTAGGAGGCACCTTGTTACTTTAATCAAGTGTTTTAAATTTTTATTTAATTTATTTTCATGCTATTGCTTTACTACCCCCTTAATTTTTGGTTTCAGTTTGCTTGTTCATTTATTTGAGTTTGGTTTTTGTATTGATCTTCTTGTTATTTAATTTTCATGTTCTTAGCTTATCTTTACACAAAAAGAACTTCTTGATAAAAGTTCAATAAAATCATCATCGATTCATGATAAAATCAGTTAGCTAGCCAAACCAATTGCTTTTCAATCATCAATATTTCCACAACAAAAGTAAACCTAAGCTAATGAAGTTCAAAACTTTCTTAGACTTAACCTACCCCACGCCATTACAATCAATGGTTTATGTAATTACCAAAACTTTAACTTGATAAACATATAGAATAACTTAAAAGGTATGACTAAAAGCCCAAATTTTTCAAAAAAAAAAAAACAATTATAAAACATAGACATTAAAATTTGAGAAAAGTGAAAAAGATACCTTTCATTAATCTTACTCCGCATCCTCTGCTTCGTGATAGAGTGTTTTGATCATGTAGCGTTAGTCTTATTAATGTTTTTCCCATTTGTTTCCACAACCCTAGAAAAACAAAACAAAAATACATATGAAATAATTCTAGGACAAGAACCAAAAAATACCTAGAATTCCAACTTGGTTAACAGAAATAGTTTGATTACAAGAAAGTAGAAATATGGAGAAAAGGATGGGGCAGTGGTGGTCAACCAGAGAAGAAAAAGAAAAGGAAAAGGAAAAGGAAAATGGGTTTCAGAGGAAATTTTCAAACCAAAAATCAAAAGGAAAAGAAAAGAAAAAAGTAAGGAAAAGCTAGAAAAAAAATCAATCCAAAACTTTTATATTGATACAGTACGACAAATAAAAGAAACAACAAAATGGAGATAAAGCTTGTATGAATTGTGTTCTGAGCATAAGGGATTCGAGTTCATTTAATTTTAGAGATAATTTAGTGGCATTTGTATACATAAACACTCATAAATCTAACAAACAATGGCATTTCCCTCGACAAAAGTAACTGAATATTAACCTAAAAATTTTAAAAAAATTACATTTATAATATTAAAATTTTAAAAATTATTTAGTGGCCGTGTTTTAATAAACGCCATAAAATTTTTATCATTAGTGATGTTTCATTTTATAAATGCCGTTATATGTAGATTTAGTGGTGTTTTATCATACAAATGTTGTTGTTTAAAAAACACACAGAATATAGCGACATTTTTTAGTGAAACGCCACTAAAAAAATGCCTTCAATTACCCATTTTCTTATAGTGAACATTTTTTTAATTAAAATTAAATATGGCTTGAGCAAAAGGAGACGAAAAAAGTAAATCAAATATGCTACATAATGGTATATATGATAAGTATGTTGAGATAATATATTTACAAGGAAAAAAGATTCGATCGTTTATATATTTAAAGAATCACAATAAAATATCGCCAACCATAAACTTATGAGGAATTGTTTATCAACATACATGTTCGACATGTTTTAATATTTAATGACATTGTTCAAAGAAGATAATTCTTAGTGATTTTGTAAATGCCCATAAAAATACCTTAAATAGTTATGAAAAAGGTAAATCTAGGATGCTGCTAGATGATGCAGGCTTTGGTTAATGTTTAATCTTTCCCAGACACCACCTTTATTTATACACTATTTTTAGCTTCCTTTCATCGTGCTCTCCAACTTTAGATAGCATTCATTTCCCTTTTTAGAATGAGCATCAATGCCTTACAGTGTTAATTTATCCAAATTTTTGGAAACTTATTAATGAAACACAGAAATTGTTATAAATTTGAAGTTATTAAGTAAAAGAGTACTATATATGTTCTTTTTATGAGTACTAACTAGTTAGTATGTGGTATTCATCTATTTGTGCTAAAACTCCGACTTGAGGGTATTTTAAAAAAGACAAGAAAGGAAAGATAACGATTATAAGCAAAGGCAGGGAGTGTTTCTTGTATTTGTATTCTGACACATAAGTTAAAGATTGTTATAGAAAAGGTTGGAAGGAAAAAAAAATAGAAAGTTGGAAATAAGATCGAATGGAATGATAATACTTAGATGTCCATATTTATAGGTAGAAAACGAAAAACTTGTGGGGAAAAAAAGTAACTTAGCCTAGCTGACATGCCTATGAACATTTAGGTCAGTCAAAATGTCCAAAATGCCCATAATTATCTGTTGTCTATCTTTAATAAGAAAAAAAAACTATAATGTACTTTAAACCACTAAATGCCCTCAACACTTTATCCCTCACTAAATAGTCTTAGTATCAAGCTATTGGGTATATAATTAATTTATTTTGTATATGTTTATGAACTTGGGCTTACTTTTTACGAATATGGGCTTAAAGGATTACCAGGGACCTGAACTCTCATGGATGAGGTCAGATGTTTGTGATGTCAATATCACGGGCAAGCTTCAAAGGCTACAATTGTTATTCAACTCAATTAAAGTTGTTTTACTCTACACTGACATGGCATAGGTCTGATCTTGTGCTTATGCTTCAGGTTAGGCATATGATTTGTTTAGGGGTTATCGAAGTGGCATCACTTTGGACAACTAAGGTAAAGATGATGGGGCTTGGATGAGATGATGAGGTTCATTTAGTTGATGTGAGACTTGACGTTTACTAAAATTCGTTCTTTGTATGTATGCCTTAGGGGTAACCTGACAGTTGGTTCCCCAAATTGGTTCTACTTGGCATTTTTATTCGGTTTAGCTAGTTCAAGTGAGTACAATCACATTTAATGAGGAAAAAGATTTTTTAGTGGTAAAATTCAAAATAGAAAAGGTGAAAAATGCTCTTTATTAACATTTTGACATATGAACAATCTAGTTTATTTATCTGATTTGAGATGCAATTGTATAAAAAGTTGTTGGGGCCTTCATTTTTCACCTTTTTATTTTTTACTTTCAATCTGACATGAATTTTTTACCTAAAAAGCTTTCAAGTTCTACCCAACGTTATGATTTTTCTTTCTTTCCAATCGTCTTCTTTTCTTTTACTTCGGTATGTATTCTTTTTATCATGTCTATTAGTGCTAGTTCTGAGGATAAGGGGAGTTTTAGAGTAAAGCTCAGAGGGGTCAGCTTAAGAATGAAGACAATGACCTAGTCTCATCGATCATCACTGGTTGGGACTACAACAAATGGTACACTGGCTTAACCTGATGTTAGAGGAAAAATAATAGAGAGATAAAGACAATGCTTGGGCTCGAAGAGAACGGGTTCTAAATGTGGACGAGTTGTATGCTCAAATTGATTTTAAATTAAAAATTTCTTCTCATTCCCTAATATTCCAAGTCAAACCAACTTTTTTACTTACCCTTCTTTTTTACTATTTCCCTTTCCAGAGTCTAATCCATTATCTTTTTACCTTTTTTACTTCTCAAACTATTATTAGTACTCTTATTCTTTTTTTTCTTCCTCTTCGATCAACTTCTGTTGACATTTTTTCTTCTTCTAAGAAGTCTCTTCATTTTTTCTCTTCCCCTGATGCTATGGTGTTTTCCACCATTATTCCAATTCATAATCCTACTCTTGTACAGGAATTTGAGTTTTTTAATAATGAAAACTCCAACAATGAAAAGGTTCTAAAAAGAAACAGTCGAGGAATGTAACCTTATCGAGGAAGGTGAAAGTGAGAATAAGTCTTTCTTAATATTAGATGAGTTGGTTGAGGTCTTTATCTATACCTTTGTTTCTTAGGCACAGTCCCTAAGGACGTGATGAAGAACTTAAAAGGCTAGGCTAATCTTGATGATTGTCCTAATATATGTTCTACTCATCACATTTATTCTCTGGTAAGGAACTTTCATTTTCATAAAAAGGGTATAGTATATTTATGCCGAGCACTTCAGATCGAATTACTGATAAGCCAAAGCTTCATCAACTTTGGTGTATTGAGACTCTATATTAGCCAATTTGAGGTTCTCCTTAAACTTTTTATTTGATAAATTTTTTCTTTCTTATAATTTAACACTCACCCCGCTCACCCCTAATTCATTTTGGTAAATAGTAACATTCATAATTTTTTGCCAACACTTAGGTATTTATCTTTTCCTTAATCTATTCAAGAAATTCTTTTTTATTAAAAGGCTATCTAGTGACAAGATGTGGTTCTACGTAACAACTCATCCTAATAAAATATTATTTGTAGACTTTTCAAGCTCAATAAAAAACTTAAAACTATTTTTTTATCCAAAAAGAGAAAAAGAATAAAGACATTAAGTTTGACGTACGAGAGATTTTGAATGAGCTTGAGAATTTTTAAGACATACCCACTGCTCTCTCTATATCTAACCTCGTAGATCAGGATAAAATAATGAACTACAACCAAAGAAAGGAGTTGGTTATAAATGTTAATGAGCTAACCTCCCTCAAAGTGGTAAACAAATTCAAGTACTGGATTAAATGTAAGGTAACATCGCAGAATCTTTAATTTTTTTTTAGTTTTTTCTAACTCTTAGCTTGTTTTACAGAGATGTCTACTTAACCATTCAAGGTCTTCGATTTTCATTTGTATACGCATGAATCAAAGTTCAAAAAAAGCCAGAATAAGATTAAGCTTAGTACCTCTTTTTCATGGGGTATAAACCAATAAACCCCTCTTTGAGCAAGTAGTTAAGCTTATCAGCTCAGCCCTCTGCCATTGCCAAGGGCAAGTAAAAGATGATGGCAAATAAAGAGCTCTCTATAGCTTTTTCTCCTCTAGTAAAAAAGCCAAAGATCGAGGTTTTTTCCTCCTCTTTTGAAACTCCTGAGGCCTAAGTCTTAAGATCGAACTTGAAAAAAATTTGCATGAGTTTGAAGTACATTCCTATCGAGAACCTACTGGAGAGCACTAACATAGCTAGAAAATTTTACAAGGTCGCGATCTCTTCGAGCAATAAGAAACATTTCAACTTAGTTCTCTTGTTACTATTTTTGGCTCTTATTATTTTTTTTTTATGTCTAGGCTCTACTTTTATTTATAGTTTACCAGAAGCCTTCCACCTTAGCCTCAACGTCTATGTCAGTTAGGCCTTACACCACATCTATATGGTAATGACCTATATGTTCAAAGCTAAAAAAGACCTAAACATCTGGGGTGAAGAAAACTAAAAAAATATTGAGTCCTTAATTGATCTTCGATCCAATGTCAGCATCTCTCACAAAAAAAAGGCTAAGTAAAAGAAGAAAGTGAATGGGTTGACGATCAAGCTAGATAACATACAGATAAAGAAAGCCACAGTTGAATTAACAAGAGATCAGGTTAGGTTAAAGCTCAAAGAAACTCATATTAAGATTGCTACGCTAAGGTTTCAACTAGAGGCTGAGGTGAAAGAGAAAGAAAAAATTAAGTAAAAGGCCAACGAGGCATGCAAAAATGAGATTATTCAAGAATTCATGGCCACTAGAGAATACACTCAGCTTTAGATGGAATTCTTAAAGAAAAATGACCTTGGCGAGTTCAAACTTGTAAAAGATGAAATGTTTTTCAAGTACGCTAACCTTAACCTTGACCTTTCAAACATCAGCCTTAATAAAAGTTTGAGGTTACTTTTACACCCGAAGCCAATGAAAGGTTTGTCGCTACTACTGTTGTTAACCAAGAGGATGCCTAAAGGGTTTTTTTTTCACTTTTTTTATTGATTTTTGTAAATTTTTGTTTAAGTATAAGGTTGGGTTTTTGTAAAAACCTCAGACCAAATTAGATCACTCACCAAAACTTTTGCCAATCATTTAT